CGGCACAGTAGCTCACGCCCGCATGTACGTGTGTGTGTGTGTGGTACTGCCGAATTTTTAACTCCCAAGAATTAATTGAATTAGCATTTCAATGCAGCGATTCGTGCGCAATTCGTTTAGATCCCCGTAGCTTGGCTTTAATTCTGGGTTACCTCGCGTGTATATAATGTCGGCGATATTAACGTTTGATCTGCTACCGTAATCACGGATGCGGGTTTAATTACCGTTCTCGAATATTTATAACGGCGGGTAATTCTTATTGTGTGTGTGTGTGTGTGTGGAGCTTTTTACATCGGGACATAAACAAGAATGTCGTATCGTGCGATGCAATAAAAATTAATTACACGCAAACCGCAGCGATATCGCGGCTTTTTAATTTGAGGAAAGACGTAGAACCGAATATGTTGACGCGCCTCATTAAAAAAAAAAAAAAACTTTCGCTGATCTCGCGATAAACTGACGCGCGACAGTTACTTCGCTCAAAACGTACATATCGATTTGATACATTCGGTATGTAAGTTCCATCAAATATTTATTCTTCGTCGACGAAATATCTGCTTCAAGTTTTCTTTAATGCGGGATATGTGATCGGGAGGAAAAAAGTTTTCATAACTATGTGGGTAATATAAAAACAGCGACCTTTCGTTCAGCTGTTATCCTATTTTTATTGCTCCGCCAACGCAAATTATCATAGTTGACTTAACACCGTGTTGCGCGACATAATTACAATCGTAGCGCACATTATCGATTTCGTTAGATTTTTGAACGAGTTGAACAAAATAAGAAGTGTAGACAGCACAATTAATTATGATCACAAAATTAGATTTGCTGCATGGATGACATATTAAAGTGACACAGTAAAGATTATTCGTGGATATGTGTGTGTGTGTGTGTGTGTATTCGTTCATATAAATATATGGCTCGCGCTGTATGTCATGTTCTCTTCGCCGTATAGACAGTCTACGGTGGTTTGGCCAAGTTTGGTACATGACTTTGGCTCGTTTTCAGTTCAGGGAAAGAGACGAGTGTGTGTTGGGGAGCAGAAAAGCGATTCTGTAAATTGAATGACTTTGGCCCGTTATATTTGTTATCTGGAACTTCTTTATGTTTTTTATATGCTTTTTCCCCCCTCGCTCTTACGTATAATAGTCGAGCAAGAACGACGCAGATTCTATTATAGACAAGAAGAAGTCACCCGCAACCTAGCTATTACGTCCAATGCCGTTTCCACATGTATTATGCATGTCCGGGCAAATTTCGTCGTCTGTCAGAACAAGCGGCAAGCATTCGTCGTGTTTTATTATTTATGTTCTCCCGAAAGCCGATAAACGGAAAATCTTAAAAGTATTTTAAGAATGTCCAAAATATTTTTCTAACAACCGTGAATTGAAAATCTCTCCTCTTTCCCTCCCTTCTTTCTGTTTTAATTCGCACTCGTGTTTCGAGACTGAGATATTATTTTTGCCGCGCGTATATAATTTATTAACGAGGAAAATATCAAGTTTAATGTATATCTATGTATATATATATACATATATTGTAATATGAAATTTTATATTCTGTTCATACTGTATAATAATCAAGCTCTTATTTTATCTCTCTTTCTCCCCGTGCACAAACGCGCAATTATCGTGTAAATTACGTGCCGTATTATATTTGTGACTTTTTTTTTTAATGCAAAAATATCACGTAGCGTATAAATTATAGCGTAATACGTTTGTTAAACTATTAAATGACAAAAAACAGAGAGGATCGATTCTCTTTAATTCTCGTCGTCCTGATATTCTTTATTGAGGAATCGCTCTTTTCTCGCTCTATCTGGAGTTAGCTGAAGAGCTTGCGTGCACATTATATATTATATAATATAATATGTATATGTATTCCAAATATATAAAATGTTTATAAAGATTCACGTTATGTATACTATGAAACTAAATTAGAGTTAGTCTCGCGCGAGAAAGTAAATCTTTAACGAAAACAAAACTCGTTGTTGAGACCCAGATAACAAGTTACGATACTTAAGCTAATTCCCGTACTTTACTCTTTATCGTCCAACGGTCGTAGACAAGCGTTTGTGTGTATCAGAGCCGATGTTTGCCACGAGACAAGATATCCTCGAATTTTCTCCTCACAATCAACTTCTTTCTCCTTGTTCCTCTCTCCCGACGATCCTCTCTCAGTTTCCACCCTCTTCTTTACAACATTTTTCTTCCCCGACGATATTCCAGTATCCGAAAAACATCCCCATCCCGGACGCGTCCGTTATGGGATAGAGAGAGAGAAAAAAAGCGCCCGATTTCCCGGAGAAAATGACGCACGCTGCCGTACGGGATATTACTTGCTGTAGATATTAACGTCCGCTGCATTTTTTTGTGGGCACGACGGTGTAGTTCTGATGTGTGTGTGAGAGAGAGAGAGGGAGAGAGGAGGCTTTTGGACATATAGCTGTGTCAGATAGCGGGATGCTGTAAATCTGTGCATTATACATGACAGTGAGATCAGCGCCATTTGTTATTCCCTGGTAAAACGTAGAAAAAGAGACGTGAAAAATTACTAACGCGGCAGCACTTACTGAAACCGAGGGTATTGGAGAATGTTGGAAGAGAGGAACTTGGCCAAGAAATCTCTCATCATTTGGAATTGGAATTATCATTGGCGCACTGCGCAATACGCGTCGTCGTCCCGGTTATGCGCGATCTTCTCTCGATTGTGCGTTCTGGGAAGGGGTTGCAGCATAAATTGCGGCAACGTTATTTATTAATTCGCGTTCCCAAACGTGCGTAATGGTTTCAGATGTGTTCGCGTCTGCGAGAAAACTGCGTTTTTCATTCTATCTGCAGTTTTTTTTTTTTTTTTTTTTTTTTCACTCGAGATCAACTACAGCACAGCTGCTGCATTGCAATGTAAAACGCGGTTAATTGAACGAGTCAGTCTTTCTCCGTATCGATTTTTAAATCGTCGACCGAGTTATGCGTATATTAAACCGGAACCTTTTCGAGTGCGAAACACGCCGAATATTTTCGTATTATTTGCAAAAAAATAATATCGCGATGTAACACACAGGAGATAACACGCAAAGGAATATTATTTTTTAGACAAAAAAATATACAAATGTTAAGTATTTTGCGAATTGATACAAATTCGTCTCGAGTGTTTTTCGAGTTTCCTTCTCACAAGGTGCGAACTCGGTGGTTTGTTTTAAACTGTTCGCAAGAACGCGAATTCTTTTCAAACGCTTGGAAACAAAAGTTGCACAACAAAGACAGTAGTTTAATATCGTCGTAAAGAGTCTCGACGAAATATTAACGGCTCCGTTGCGTTGCTTATCCTGTCGCCTGGTAAATTTTCTCAGGAAGTCTTAATTCTATCGCAATATAAACCAAGACGCTGTGCTTGCACACGAAATACGAAACAATGTCTCGTCGAATTGCTCGTTCTTTTTGCGGATAAATTTACCAAGGAAAGAAGCTCTATGTAAGGAAGTAAACGCGCCGTGTTGGCAAACGTATCGTTTTCCTGTTACATCCAACTTTCTTTGAGGACTGGCTACACGAGATAGTTTAACCTATATATTTTTCTTTATCCGGAGATAAAATTAAAAAGAATACACACGTTTGTGTGTAATAATATAAAGTACTCTCAATGTAAAGAGTTTATATCATACATATGTGTACATATTTTTTATACATTATATATATTGGTAATATGTATATTTATATATATGTATATTTATGTATATTGGTAATATGTTAACATCTCGGATAATACATACTATAAAAAACTTCTCCGCATGCATTGTAACTTATTTACAGCGGGCGACATTAAGACCGACTATTATAAGCGTTAATTTTTACATGTGTATAAATTATAAATTAACAGCTTTTTTTACAGATATAAAAACTCCCTCTCTCTCTCGCACGCGCTTCTCTCTAGGAAATTAATTATTCCGATTCGCGCGCATCTGAAAGGTTGTTGAATAAAAAAAATACGGAAAATAAAAAATTTCGTCGCGATATAATTAACCGAGAGACGCAATGAATTTAATCCGGCATAGAAAACGAAACACGATTTAATATATTCACTTCTCTTTCAAAGTCGGTTTGTTATTTATGTTTTTTCCTTTTTTCTTTTTTTGTGTTACGCGGGAGCGTGTGTAAGCGGATGGCGTTATTACACTTATACTCCGCGCGGACATAAAAAAGTTGACACACAAGCTGCGCTATGTCGGACACATCCCGTAGGAGAAGCGACGATGCACAGGCAAATGCGAAATCTGAACACAAATAAGTGTAGAGGTGTCCGTAAATAAACTTGCATCGAGCTTGCGCAGCAAACCGATGAACGTAAAAGGTAGTTACGCTTTCGCGCGAGTTACTCGGCTCACAAAGGTCTTTCAGGTAACGACGGGTTTTATTCGAAACATTTAGTGCGGAGCTACGTCGCACACATACACGCAGAGATGTTCGTTCGTATAATCGCGCGCTATGTGTGTACATACATATACATATTGTCATATAAAGCGCAAAGAATGTTTTCGCAACCCTTTCTCCCCCCTCGTGTGAGCGTAGCACACCTGACCTTTACTAAATTAAACTTTCACGCTATGGTTGATATTTCGTTTTGCAGTAATTCGCGCGTAATTTAATTTATAAAACGATATAAGAGAGATATTAAATATTTAAAATGTTTACATATTTTTTCACTTTAAAAACAAAATTCTCTTTTTATTCACTTTTTCGCGTTAATTTTATGTTAATGTTTATTTTTATCGCAAATCTTGTAAACAGTTAAACTGCGAGATAAAATTCACTCTAACGAGATCCGAGTAACAAGATCCTCCGAATATAAGTTGCAAAAGATTTAAAGAGTTTTGTTTATCTTTCACACACAGATATTCTTTCTCACACATTTTTCCTGCACGTTGTTGTTACACACGTATTGATCGGCAACACGATGATGGATAATAAACCTTTCCATTATTTCGCTTTTGCATATTGCAGGGCAGTTCCAGTCCGGAAGGAGCTCATATGGAATGGCATCACGTGGACCGTCGTCGCTGTCGACGCTGTCGATCGCTGCGATAGCGATGGCTGCCGTGATGACAGCCGTGGCTAGCGGTCTCTGTCCGGCGCGATGTCGATGTGACGACGAGAGTCTGCGCGTCTCTTGCGCCTACGCCGGTCTCGAGGTTGTGCCGATCCAACTGAACCCGGAGATCCGTCACTTGGATCTGTCCAACAATCGCGTGGCCAGCGTGCATCTCACTTTCAGTTTCTACGGCAATCTCGAGAGCCTCGATCTGAGCTCGAATCTCATTCACACATTGGGTTTGGAGAATTTCAGTCTACAGCAAAGCCTGATCGTGTTGAACGTCAGTAACAACGCGATACGAACACTGGCGAAGAACGCTCTGCGAGGACTGACGTCTCTGAAGGAACTGAATCTTGCGAGGAACAATATCTCGCGGATGGACGATCAGGCGTTCAAATACACTAGCGAATTGGAAACGTTGAATCTCAGCAACAACTCGATCACAAGTCTGCCCGACGGTCTGCTGAGGAATCTGCATAAAATACGACGTCTGATTCTAAGCAAGAACTCGCTGTTAGAAGTACCAACGAGCAATTTGGCTCTGGCGCCGAGCCTCGAGCATTTGGATTTATCGGATAACTTGATACTGGAGCTCGCGCGGGATTCTTTGCCGTCATTACCGTCGCTGGTCTCTCTGAATCTGTCCAACAACGTAATCCGGAGCATCGCCGATGTCGCATTCGATCGTTTGCCGGATCTCTTGTATCTGGATTTATCTGGGAACAATCTGACGTCCGTGCCTACGGCCGCTCTGGCCAGACTGAGCGTGCTGACGAATCTCGTGTTGAGCACGAATCGGCTCGGGTCTCTGGACGCGGTTGCCTTTCGCAATCTTTTCGAGCTGAGAAATCTTGAGCTGAACGACTGCACGATCACGAGCGTGAACGCGCGGGCGTTCGCCGACAACGTGAACCTCGAGCGTATCTCGATGGACGGCAATCGCGAATTGAGCGAGCTGCCGGCCCGAGTTCTCTACGGGGCCCGTTACCTCAAGTGGGTCTCTCTGCGTCAGTGCAACCTGGCGACTCTGCAGCCGACGCAATTTCCCGTTGACGGACTGTCGCATCTGCGAGTCGGTGGCAATCCTCTCGTGTGCAACTGTTCGGTGCACTGGCTGTGGAACGTGATACGCGCCGAGCAGCGACGTAACGAGACGCGGCTCGAGCTGGACACCTACGACATTTTATGCATCGACGAGGAATTCGCCGGCAAGGCGTTGGTCGCGCTGTCCGAGGGCTCGCTGCGATGTCGTCTGAGCCCGTTGTATCTGTCGCTGTCGGCGGCCGGTTGTCTGGCGGTGGCCGCGACCGTGCTCGCCCTGATCGCCCATCTGACCCGCGCCAAGCGGAAAAGACGCGCGCTGGCGTACGCCGCGCCTAACCGTCCCGAGTTCCTGGTCTACGTCGGCAGGGATAACAACGGGCTGGACAAAAACGCCGAGTCGTACAGCCGACGGTTGCTGGCCAGAAATAACGAGGACATTTCGTACGACTCGCCGCGCGGCAAGATGATGGCGGAGCGCAGTCCGCAACCCCAGGACACGAACATTTACGAGACGCCGCGTTACGCCCGACCCGGACGTTACGACGAGCCGCCCTCGTACGGGAAACAGTTGGCGGAAGAAGGGGTGTACGCGGTGGCGGACGTAACCGATCTCCGTGACGAACCGCCGGAGGTGTTGTCGTTGTATCGCGCGCACAGTCCGACCGTCCCTTCGAGATCGACGAACTCGTTGCGACGACCGGACTACGGTTACGATTACGAGTACGATTACGATTACGAGTCGCAGCCGCCGCCACCGCTGCCACCACCGATGTCCGAGAAACCGCACGTTGTCTTTGTATGAGAGGGGGAGAAAAGTGAGTCGTAACACACAAGCGGTCCAGTTGTAGCGATAATCAGCGAGTCCAAGATGACGCAGGGGATGAAATAATCGTTAAACTAACTTCGTATCACGGGCTTTTAACTGTCCAGAACATCTCGGGAAGAGCTTTGCCTTGACTCCCGTCGGTGTCTCATCGGCGTTATCGCGCCGCGCGTTACGTAACAAGAACCAAATATACTGAAATGTGATGAAGCCGAGAAACACAAAACCCATCCACTCGTGTAAAAATTCTCGACTCCGTGAACACACATCGTAAAAATTGCACAAAACGTATAAACATTTTGCTTTGGAACGATACAGCGCCGCGTGTCTACGGGATGAATGTCTATGATTCTTTTTGTTTGTACGTACGTATGTGTTATCTTTTTCCACATTCAGACAATCGGACACTCGTTTGCCGCTCCGGAACGAAGATTATTCTTTCACGCTTGATACCAAACTCGGACCATCAGCTCTGTGAGCCTCTACTGGCATATTGAAAAATACCAAATCCCAATTGCTGTTTGCATCAGAGTACAAAAATGTAGCTTTGTTCGCTCTTATCTCGCGCTCGCTCTGTTTGGCGGTTCAACAGACAGCTCTTTAAAAAAATATTCAACAACAAATTCGATATCTACGGAGGAACGTCATTCTTGAAGAATCGTAGACATTCTCTTCGGGCTGTTATTGTACGTACAACTAAGGTGCTATCGTTGTTACCGGGCATTGTCCAGTAATGTAATCGCGTTTATTAGGTCAAACGTTTGAGCAATAGATTGACAAGTATATGAGAAAAAAGAAGAGAGAAAGATAAGAAAAATTCACGTCTCATCGGTTTTGTGAGACCGGCGAGATCGACCTTAGCATGTAACATCGATTTTTCGACTTGCTAAATAATCGGTATCATCATCTATGAGGGGAGAGGAAACAGAAGCGGATTATTCGAGATTCTATTGCTCAGGCGAGAACGAATAACGCGTCGTACAATTTTGTTCGTAAGAAATCAGGCAGATTACGTGACACGACACGGCGGAAATTATTCCCTTGGGACAAACAGAAGCAAACCGTGGACGAGTGAAAATGAAATGTCTTCCGAGATAGTTGTGTCGCTACTGTTACTAGAGAGAATGAGAGAGTGAGAGTATGAAAGAGAGAGAGAGAGAGAGAGAGCGCCAGAATGCATTCTCACTGAGAAACACAATCTGACTCGGAATGTAAATTGTGCGGGAGCGTAAGAGCACGTTATATTGGACGAGCTCGTGGAGATCGAGAGCACGGGAGACCCGTATTTATTTTCGCGATTGCGCTAGTAGAAAATCTGTTGGCTCAGTGCGAATGCAGCGGCTCGATTTTGTCAGACGAGGCGAGGAGTTTATTTCGTCAAGTCCGTTCGTGAACGTAGTAGTAGTGACGAATTTGAATCAAAGCTGCGTCGCGTGTTAGTCGATTAAAGATCCTTGTAGAGACTCTTCTAGTTACCTAGAGATTTAGTCTTGTGTCAAGTCCGTTCCACAGGCTGAGAAAGATCGAGAGTTTGCAACTCTCTCTCACAAGTATGATGTATTATAACCGTCGGCCACGGCAATCGCCTGCAAACACCTACACGGTTAAGAAAAAAATTAATAAAAAGGCTCTTGTGTATTGTCGTCCGGATATGTATCTGAGTATCCGAGATATTTCTCGAAAGACACTCTTTCTCGGACTCGATTCGCTAATGTCCGCGTCCAAATATTGGAGTGTTTGGGAAATATATACGTATATACATACATATATATATATATATAGTAACTCGATTATATTTAAATATATAAAATTTTACAAGTAAAATTATTTGACTAATAAATATAGAGATGACGAATATAAACAATTTGGATTTTTATATAGTAGTAGCTACACACATGTATAAAACTAATTTGAATACTTGTATTGCTAACAGTTACAAAGAGACAAATGTGTAATGCTCTAAATTTTGTGTTTGTTTGTTTTTTTTGTTTTGTTTTATATACTATATCCGGATCTATAAATCGAGCGAGTATCCGGATACTCGGGTAATGAAAGTTCGCACATTTGATCAGCGACGAGAATGTTTATTAAATAAAAGAGCTGTGAATTGTTTGCCGAACAATATTGCGTTACGCGTTCTTTCACACGCTTAAAGGGAGCAAATTACGTTTCTACGCGGGTCGCAAATCCGACATTTTCCTCTCTTTTGCGACCGAGGAGGAGAGAATTTCTCGCTCGTACGTAAAAAAAAATTGTTGTAAATTGAAGCAATAATAGTTATGTCCTTTTACGATGTAAGCACACGTTTATCACACCGAATACCGAGGTAATTAAGAATTACACACAAGACACACGTTTATACAAAGAGCATATAACGAAGCGAATATATACAAAAATACAAATATATAAATATAAATATTTATATATTTATTTATTTAATTTATGATATTAAGTTTTGAAACCAAAAATGTTACGTTTTGAATATAAAAATTATACTGAATGCAATACGTTTCCTTTATATGAAAATCACAGACTCTCGTACTTGTGATTCGTCATAACGATTTTCCCAAGTGACATGATAAGACACTTTGTGTATCCCCGCACGTACGCACATCCCTGATATCACATAGAATGACAATGAGAAAAGTCTTCGCACGAATTCGCGATTGCGGTCCTGAAATATTTGTTCGTACATATTTTTAGCGTACGTCTCGAAACGCGTCCCAACGAAACCCAACAGAAAATGCAAAACCTTCTAATTGGATCCGCTTGTGAGACAATTTCGCGAATCATCAGCTCAAGTCAAAATCCGGAAATTGAGTCCTTGCTAATGAATCGCATTTGTTATTTTCGCTAGAAATATTAGATCTGAAAAAAAATATTTTGTCGTATTCCTCTTCCCTTATCCTCTTTCTTGCTCGGTTAGCCGAGATTTCTCTGGTGGCACTTTGCTCGACTCGTTAGTCACGGTAGTTAGTCATGCTATGTGCATCTTGTCTAGAGAACAACCAACAGGAAGATGTGAGAGGAAAAGAAAGAGAGGAGAGGCTTGCAAAGGGGGTCGACGGGACTGGCGTTCTCTGAGAGGGGTGAAAGTCTCACAGACGTCGGTTTTTTTTTTTTTTTTTTTTTTTTTACTCTCGTTTTTCTCTTCCTTTTCTCAATCGTCGCATCCCCTTTCCTATCCGGGAACCTCGCTTCGTGGATTTGGACGTGTTTGAGACGTACTTTCGAACTGCTCGACGGCTATTTTTGTATATATACATACACAGACCGTGTAATGTCGAATGTATAGCATAGTCGGCGTTACAGAATGGTTGAGATACCTTTAATTTCCACGTGGGGAATACCTCTATATTGGATATACATACATAACATTTTTTATACATAAGTATTTTATATACAATAATATTTTATACTTAATATATATAATATAACAAGTTACATATATATTAAAATATTAATATATAATATATTACACGCGCGCACACACACACACACACACAATTTCGGCCAATGAATTATTTATACAGTACGGCGCTGTTAATTTGAATTTTCATCACGCGAACTGGATGTAAAACATCCCAGCAATGTAATTTCGTCGGAATAGAAATTTTATTACCACACACGTAAAGGTCGCGCGCGTATTTTTTTTCTTTCTCGCGCGATCCCATTACCAAACCTAACTGAATGTGATATATTGAACGCGTTACTCTCTTTCCAGAGTAAGCGATACGGAGCGCATCAATATTAGCAAGTCAAATGTTTTCCATCTTTCAAAAGACTTATATAATAGCATAGTACTTGAGAATAATAACCAATCGTATCACATTATAAATCTTGGACTCGATCGCGTATGATCAAACATGTTCAGCATCACATTGTAGATGCCACCTTCTTTTTCAGCAATAAAATCTAGTTGTTGATACTCTCATAGACTTTTCTCTCTCTCTCTTTGATAATTTCTTCCTCTCATGTATAATCGATATATGTTGTCTATATTATGTAAAAAAAAGATCTGAACCATTCCGACGTCGATAAATCATGTCTTCTCACGTGCGCAAATGTCTATGTGTATGTGTTTGTTTTCTTCGTATATATGTGTGTACATCCCGATGCCGGTTGCATAAAAAAGAAAAAAAATATGAATTACTATCAAAATGTTCGAATAATCGAACGAATATTCGAAATTGGAATGATAATAACGCGCTTTGCATATTACGATAAAGATACATTGAATATAAAACACCCTTAATAGTCTTTCTTCTATATCCGTTTATGAAACCGGCATGTATAAATTTATCAGCTCGTTTTACCCTATTTTCGCCTTCGTTCAACCAATCCCTATGTATTTCCGAATGCTACGTTCTTTCATCTTAAAATAAAAAGACTAAAGTACTTTGTGTTTCGCCGATACGGTAAAAATATAACGCAATATATCTTCGTCACTTTTTTTGTGTACTTTACTTCTTCCATATATCAAATCGTGACGATACCACTTTATGAATAAGCGCAGACTAATAACCAGATAGAAGTGTTGTTTGTGCGAGATACTAACATTTTGTGTTCTTGCAAAAGATTAAATTTGTTTGTTATAATATGTTAAAAATTCATTTTTAAAATGATCAATTTATATCTCTTTACTCTTAATTATTGCTAAATAATTATTGCTAATAAAAAATAAAACTTGAAAAATAAAAAATTGAAAAGCAAACATATTTGTTTATTTCTAGATTAATATCAAAACAATCCAATGTTACCATTCGTAAAAAAAAATAAGTATGAAAATTTACTAGACGAAAGAGTTGGCATCCTTTAGCATCTTGATGTAGAAATGAGAAAAGAAATTAATATGTTTAATTGTTAACAAGCAATTACGCGGATTACGTTTTTTTTTATATTTGTACAGATATTTGTGCAAAACTCTACATGTGAGATATATAAACTATGAAACTGAACTATTTACAGTTTGTATGTATTTTTACACACGCCATACATATTGTATATGTATATTATATATATATATATATATACACAATATATTGCGTGCGCGTATCAGTTACATGTAGAATATAATTCTTCTTGCAATGTCTAATACATGGTTTATTCACGCATTTCTGTATCCGAATGTAAAAATTACAGGTAAAGTTCGAAATCTACTCTAGCAGCATTATAAAATTGATTTTGTTGTCCAGTTCTTCTGACCCAAGCGCCATTTTTGAAATATCCCTCTTTTGACCATGCTTGCATTTGTTCACTAGTATGAGGACCATATATTTCCGCATCTTCATTTTGTGACCATTTTAGCTCCCATGTTACATTCTCTTTTACGTTGGATGTGTCTTCCCTAGTTTCTACCGTTTCACCTGAATGTGTATGTCATTTGTATGCACATCATATAAAATATACACAATAAAAAAAACAATATTTTTGTGCGAGTATACGTAACAAAATACAATATTTGACACATTGTCATGTTTATGTTGATCAATATTTGATATATTGAAAATAATATATTACATACCACTGTTGATGTCATCCAGTTTCGCCTTTTCTTTTTCGTCAAAATCGTCAGCATACATATCCAACTCTGCTTCTTGTTTCGAAGGATGTGCATGTTTATCGGCTTGTTCAACCTAAAAGATAAATTTTCCGATCAAATTACCACATATACTTACATCTCTTTCACATGTGCGTATTTATTACCTTCTTTTTTATTTGTTCATAAGTTTCTTGATATATATCCATATTACCAGTACGCGTTAATAATTCATTTGCTACCTCTGTCAACTTTGTTATACTAACAGCCTTTGGATCTTCTTCCTTAAATGTTTTAGATTCCTTTTTCTTTTTCCATCTTTCAGCTGTAGTTAACTTTTTTTTCTCTTTACCTGGATTGTTATAATTCGCATTTACTTTTCTTAGTTACTCAAATACTAAATGTATTAGTAATTGCTATACCAAGTCTGCACAAGGTTTTAGAAACAGTTTCGCCAGGCTTAAGATATTCTAACATTGTTTTGTATAATGGAATGGGATCAAACATAACATCTCCATCGTCGTCACTATCACTATCTGCTAATCCATGATTTTTATTTGATTTAACAGGCTCTTGAGTTGTAGAACTAGATTTGATCTTGCAAAAACAGATACGTTAATATTTTATACATATCCAAGAAAAAAGTATACATTATATTATATTAGCAAAAATATGTGTTACAAAATATTAAAACAAACTTTATTTAAATAATATAAGTTTTTATGAAATATAAGAATATATTAATGTTTTTGTTTTTTATTATATAGATAAAATATAATTTTAAATAGATAAATTAACTAGTTCTCAAAAAGATTATTAGATTTATTTTCTTTACCTGAACCCAGTTTATGTTATCCAACCAGTTATCTCTGATTTGTTTTTCTTTTTTCCAAAGATAATGGCCATCTTTGTCAAAATGTCCTTCTTCCAACTCTTCTTTCATATTAAAAGCTGTAAATCCTACATTTGTTTCAGGTGCTGAAGGTCCATCTTCTGCACCTATTTTTAAAAATATACATAACACATCTCTTAATATTGTTTGTTATGTGTATAATCTTTTTGTTTTTAGATAGTTTTTGATAGTTGTGAAAAATGATTTAAATATACAACAAGAACTGTCTCATTTATAATAATAAATATATTTATAGATCATATGTATATAAATTTAGATACCTTCAAATTCTTCTTCATTCATTATATTATAAGCATCTTCATTTATCTCATCATCATCTTCATCAGAATCCAATGAATTTTTAAGTGGTTGCTTTCCAAGTCTATTTTCCATATCTTCTAACTTACGTTTTGACATGTTTTTGGGTAAATGGAGTTTTTATTAGATTAGACGCGATTCTATGTAACTTTATAATATTTTTAAAAAATGCTTGACAACCAGCTGTAAGCTTTTAAAATGCAAGACGCCACTATCACATTCTGTATAAAAAGAGAGGTTATATATGTTATCATAGCACTTCTTATTTACTATACAAGAATTATGTTACAAATCCAATACTTACAACAGTTTGTAGAATATTTCTTAATACACAATATTTATACGATATTTTTTCTATGCAAATTTATATGTACAAAAATTTCTTGGAGTAAAGTAACCACACGAATCATACGAATTCACTACTAACTGCTTCTGCCCCACCTTCTAAACAACTGCTTGCAATTAACGATGTTTCCTGGGCTGCGTTCCGAAACCCTGTTAGGTAAAGTTGACTGACCAATCAGAATAGAAGGAACAGATATTTCTGTATCCTGATTAGTCGCGACCAAACCCTATTTTATTCGACGAGTAGAGTTTTGGAACGCAGCTCGAGTTTCCTGAGTTTAATCAATTATGAATTAAATATTATTAATTATATAAATATCATTCTGTGATTATTCATAATCCGATCTCTTATATTTCACTTTATCTACAATGCTAGGTTGTTTCATTAGTTTCAAGACAAACTCAAGATGATCTTAAATAAGATTTGACTTTGAATACCGGCCTGTGTCATCGAATAGACAGCATCAAATGGCTTGAAGGTTAAGTGCTTAAATAAATAAACAATAATTTAATGCTTCAATCAAATTGCGAACTAAAGATTAGAATTTGATCAATTGGAGGAAAATCCACTAAAAAGAGTTGCTTGTTTTGTTCTGATTGATTGAGTAAATTTTAATTCAATTCTAGCCTGTGGTTTAATATCTGATTAATTGAACGGAGCATTGTCATTACTATTGTTTTAAATAGCCTTTCTACTTGAGTAAAAATAAAAGAATAAAAATAAATTAAATTAAATATGATGTCAAACAAAAGTTTTAAAAAATGACAATTTACAAGTGAAGTAAATAACAGTTTATTGGGAAGAGAGAGAAAACTAACTGATTATTAATCTATACACATAAATTTATAAACTTCAATTTGTAAATTGTGTGATAACTTATAAATTAAATAACATATAAGTTATATGTATAAAACACCAATGAATTCAATCATTTTTAGACAACTGTATATGCTTGCATCAAGTAAAAAAAAAAAGATAAAGCAAACTTTATCAAAACTTAACCTGTTTCTAAACATTGGAATTTTGTTAATCTTACTGATTTGGTGTTTAACAATAATTTGTTTATTAAAATTATTTTATATCTTTTAAGAAATTTAGTTGTAGTGCATCAAGACCATATTTCTTTTTTACAGCAGCCAATATACTTTTCAACCTCTCAACATATTGTACAGTTCTTCGTTGTTTTTGCTGTAAAGCTCTTATTTTTCTTTGGAATTCTTTTCTTGTGTTGACCAGTGCAGTTCTCAATGTTTGATTGATAGCTTCTGGGCTGTTTGGCATACAAAAATCCTGCTGGGAAACTGCATCACACAATCGATATGTATATAAATAAAATTTACAACCAACTAAATAAAGTTAATCAAATATTTATATCTGTAATTCTTTTGTTAAAAAAAATAAACTAAATACCTTGACAAGAACTACTAATGGTAGTAATTTTGGGTTCTGCTGGTTCAGAAACATTTGTACAGTCATTAGAATGATCATTGTATTCTAGTTTGTAAAAAAGAATCATTAATAAGATGATTACTTATTCTATAATTATATTTAGTAGATTACCATGACTTAATGATATTGCTAATGAGATTTTTTTCAAAATACCTTTTTGTTCTACTTTGTGAATTTCTAACAAATCAGGACCAACATTTTCTTGATTTGCTGAATAATACGAATGGTCTTCCATTATTTTCTGTCGTTTCAGAGGAGATTCTACATTTTTTGAATTTCCTTTCTATAAAGTAAAAATCATATGCATAACTTATAAAATGTTAAATATTTGACATTGACTAACTTTTATATCTATACATACAAATGGGATGGCATCAGCTCGAAGTCTGGTACAAGCAAGAGATGTTCTGTCCAAAAATTTTTCCTCAAAATGTAGTGAACATAATGATGCGGTTTCTGACACATCATTTTCATTTAACTGCAATCTATCAAGCCACAGCTTACGCTTCTGTGGCTCTTTAGGTATTCTGCAAAATTACCAAACTTACATTAAAAAATAACAATAACTTCAAAGAATTATAGCATATACCTTATTTACAGTAATAATAGCGCAATTTACCTGTGAAATGTAATTTTTTTATTAGCTTGTTCCCATTCTAACTGTAATTTGTTTTTTCGGTTCTGACATCTTCTGCTTTTGCAACCTTTAACAACGCAATCTGGCATGTTGTAGAAAATTAGTTAATTTTTTTTATAAAAAAATCACCAAGGTCGTAACCACAAAATCTTAACGACAGTTTCAGCCAGTGATAAGTTAGAATGATTATCCCATCAATGATCAATCTCATGTGATTTCTTACGACGCTTTTGGCTGTTGATGTCAGCGCCATAAATACACAAAAGTGAATGTAAGAACTACGGAGCGGATCTACTTTACTGTCGATAGGTAGTCTCAAATCGGTACGAATCTGCAAACTGCGTGAAAAACAAGTTTACGTTAAAATTGTTTCGCGGTTTCGTGAGGCGCGCGCGAGAAACAAAAATGTTGCGACTACACGTGTTCAAGGAATAGGAACGTGACAAAGAACGATGTAAAAACTATACAATATGTGTTGCAGAGTAACTGAAAAACGACGTTTGTAGCATGCGGCATCAGGACAATTTCTTGAACAATCGTACAACATTACTATGGAGCAAGATGCAGAGTGTACACAATCAAGTAAATTATAAAAAGTATTATATTTTTATCGTGTACAATTTATCAAATTAAATTATAGATATAAACTTACTTTTTTACTTATTGTCTACGAGAATTTGCTTAAAACCAAGAAATATAGAAATATATAAGTTATAATTGTTTAGAATTTACTTATATTAATGTTACATCCATACAGAAAGAATTTATACATGTAATTTATATATCTTACAGAACAAAGATTCCGTTAAGGGCCGTCTACAATGGGAGTAGGTAGTATAGAGTAAGAAGTAAGGTTCTTGAAGTTATTTTATTTTTATCTATACAAGTAATTATTTCGTTTTTTAACACACGTCTTTCACATTGGCTAACAGTAAGGCAGTAGACAGTGCGAAATGGGAATTGCCTATTTCGTAATTCCCGTTGTTTCTTCACCGAAAAATAGTTTACTCTCTACTCCTACAGCTTTACTACCTTCATTGTAGACTAGCCACAATAGAGTTTTTGTTCTGGGAATAAAATTACATATTCTCAATAGAGTAACCGTCGTCACGGAAGTATCGATTCTCGGTCTTCCGAAAAGAAGTTGAACGAAGGAGACAGAATTGATTGAATCAAGCAAAACTCTGCCAATTTTCTAGTTTTCACGTTTAAGATGACCTCTTGTATGTAGGTAAAAATGGCACGTAACGTGTCCATCTCCATCTGAAAAATATCAAACGTGTTATACAACGTGTGTGTACTGATAAATAAGCAACAATAAAAATTTATATTTATAACTTACTTTCTCATTAAGTTCATTCCAAATGGGAAATCGAAGGTATTCCAAACGTACTCGTCGGTATGACACACTTCGTCAGTTTCTTTATCAGCCGTTTTGCTTGTCAACTCCATTTCCTTTGACCACGCTTCTAAACCGCGATCTTTTGCGTTACCTTTAAATCAAACAAATGAACAAATGACATTTTACACAGCTAAATTAAGTGTTACGCAAATTTATAACTATCAGACAAAAGCATACGATGAAATCAACAAAATAATACACATATGGTACATACATTTTAATTAAAAAACCCGTTAATTTTGTGTGCATTAAAATTTATCTTTTAATTCTCTCTAATATATTCAACTTATTTTTATTTAAATCACTGACAGAGAGCAACTGCTGCGCGCCGGTTATATGACAATATATACACAAGGATTTATCTGAATATCACTATGTAATACCTGGAATGATATTGTCGAGTAAACAGCCTAGTACACCACCTACTAGAATAGTAGTGCTAAGTAGTACAGTAAGTACACTATCTACTAAAGCATTTCCTGTTTGTATCGCATTCGGATGTTTCAGCAACCATTTTGACAAAACCTGAAGAGAGCGATATGCGTAAAATATAAATATAGGAGTACATATATGTTTACTTATATATAAATAGAAACATACTCACCAGAGGGAAAAACATAGACAGACCTAGAATGAACAAATTCCTTGAACAATTGAGATTCACATACTGCAATGTCGATAAGCCTAAAAAGAAATTAAAAATATTAAATTATTTTGTGTAAGAGGAAGAGAATAGATTTTATTTTATTTCAACGTGCGCAAGCTCACCGAAAGCGCAAATCATTCCAAACATCACGCAAAATATTCCACCGATAATTGGCTCAGGAATTATGATGAACACCGCACCGAACTTACTGATTATGCCTTGCAAGATCATTAAAACACATGCCCATTGTATGACTCTGCGACTCCCGACTTTAGTAACTCCTAATAGTTTCGCAAGTATCAGGTTTTGTCAAAAACAACAACGCAATAATATTAAATAGAAGATGAGCGCGTTATATAAAAATTCGGAAACTCTTTTTTGAATTAATCATTTACCTATCGTTCCGACATTCTCGCCGAAAGTATTTGTGCCGTTGCCGCTACCCCAGAGACCAGCCAGCATCGTGCCAAGACCTTCTATACCAATACCTCGATTAATCGCATGAACCGGAGGCGGCGGTGCTCCTAAAAATTAATCAATAAATTCTGTAAACATTTCAAAGTAAACGCTTGTACATACGCGCATATGAATAATAAATATATATTATTCATTTTGCAGTAATACGTGCGATACACATACCGCACATTCTCGCGGTGGTTGGATAATAGCTGATAGACTCCACCGTGCATGCTAATACACCCGCTAGCATTCCGAGGACTCCTGCCAGCGTCACGGTTGGTACGCCCCATTGTCCAGGATACGGTACTCGAAACCAAGGTGAATCACTTATAATTCTCAATTTATTGTCTGCTCTGGCAGGATGATCAGCCGGTAGTACGTTTGTTACAGTTAATATAACGCAGATTATCCACATTGTAATTATTGTCAACAAAACCTGTGAGTTGAATTTAGATATATTATTATTTCACCAACAACATCACACGCTGAACGTTGAAGAAAAGTGATTTGTATGATAAACAGAATGATTCATAACACTCATTTGAATAAATAGAAAGAGAAAAAAATTCGAAAGAAAAGACATTGAATTTTTTTAAATAAAAATTCTTAAATTCTTTAGAAATTTTTTATGAGCAATGTGCGTAAGGATCCTCTTTTTTGGATCTTTGCTTACTGGAAAGAGTTTGAATAGCTCAAACCAAGTAATGTGGAGTCCTTGGCCTTTACGATAAATTACGCAAGGAACTGACACATTGACCAATATTTGTGAGCACATTGTCAATAGTATAATCGTCCTGAAAAAATATGCAAGCGTCTTTAAAGACGATATTATTTTAAAATATCTATACGTAAACATTCTGACCGGTACTTTAATCGTTTTACAAAAGAAGAATAAAGCTGTTTCTCTTTGAGTCGCTGCTGGAAAGTAAAACGGCACATAAAAAGAGAAACTTATTTCTTCTCTCGCAAAACGATTTAGTGTCGCTCATTCGATGCACATACCCAGCTGCGATACCCCAATGTTGGGACGCAGCTTCCGCTGCGTTTTCGAACAAAGACAATCCAACCAGCGATACAGTTGGCACAATTGTTAACGGTGTTATAAATTTCAGCAAATATCCAACAATACCTGTATAAAATATTTCGATTAAAAAAAAAAAAAAAAAAAAAAAAAAAAAAAAAAAACGTACATACGCGATAAACGCGTCAAATCTGAAGTTCACCTCCAAATCCGATGATTACTTGGAATAGAGCGGAAACAGCGATGGCACCCGACAGCTCTCTCATTCGAATTTGCCAGAGTTCGGTTCGATTCTCGGGCGTCATTTGATTTAAAACTTCCTGAGCAGGGCACTGCCACTGTGGTAAGTTCAGTATCGCCAAAGTCGGAACCAGAAACGATATGGTGCCACCTTGAACCAATGGCAATCTAACGCAAAACAACAAAAAACAAAACGTTTCTTCATATTACATGTATAAAATTTGACGATTTTTATTACAATATTACAGTTATATATACGCACCTACATCCTATGGTAGTTTGAATGAACGTCACCAGACCGGTAACGAAGATCATTGTTGAAATAATATGACTCCTTGAAGGATCATCCTCCGCCATGCAAAGAGCCGGCGTTAAAATGAAAGGAATAGAAACGATGGCTCCAATCATCGTCAAATAATGCTGGAAACGTGTTAATTTTCTTTAGATTAGATTCAGTTAATTAAACGCCAGACGATAAAAGAACCATGTCTTTCAATACGCGCAAAATTGCAAGTTCGATCTTCTTTTATTTTTCTAATATTCATTGGTAATTCGTTTACTTGTTTGTGTAATTTCACAAATTCAATAAATTTATTTCTTAGATTAAGAGAGATACAATTTAATTCAAAACAATAATAAAAGTAAATACGAGAGAATATTTGAAAAGTAAATATAATTACGACTCCTTACCTGCAGTGCCATAAATAAACACAAATACCATGGCGGAACGTCATCGATGCCATAAGTGAGTTCAGAACTTCTGTTCTTATCATTTATCTTTTTCTTTGACATCGAAATAACTGTCGAATTATTGTCTGTATTCTAAAAACAAAAAATTATGTACATATAACTGATTATTGTCTATATAGTTTTTTTGTCCGCTTGAACTAATTATTATAAAAATTGGGGGGTTTTAATGTATTGTATAATTGTGACTTTATTCTTGTCAATAATTATCAAACGTTTCGATCTGTTGATTCAGATCTTCTTCAGTGATAATCTATATTATGAAAATGATAATGTTACTTATTGACAAGAATAAAGTCACAATTATATAATACACAAACAACACCAGTATCATTGCTCGTACAGCCTTACCCTTATATTATTCAAAATTATTATCTCTTTTTTAGTTTCGAGTTTCCATTGAATTTTACAATGTAAAAAATATTTAACAGAACAATGATTCTTAGAAGCAGACATAGATGTAGAGATGCAAATTTTAACTTTGTTTATTCTAAAAGTAAAAGTAAAACGTGTTTGCTCTAACAGCCATTTAACAACACCTTTATTATTTAAGAAAATCTTGGAGCTAATTACACACATCATTATTTAAAAGTAAAACGTTTTCGACCTGTGGTTTAGGTCATTTTCAATACAATAAAGAGTGCTGGTAATTAACGCCGGTGTCGTACGTACAAGTAAGAAAACATAGTTGTCAGTTCTTACTTGTACGTTGCGGCCTCACTAGAACATTTATAGTCTGTCAAAATCGGCGTTAATTACCAGCACTCTTTATTGTATTGAAAATGACCTAAACCACAGATCGAAAACGTTTTACTTTTACTTTTAGAATAAACAAAGTTAAAATTTGCACCTCTACATCTGTGTCTGCTTCTAAGAGCCATTGTTCTGTTAAATATTTTTTAAATTGTTGGAGCTTTACACACATCAAAATTATTTACAATGTAAGTTGCATAATCTTCTGAGATAATGCCACAAAAAAAACACCTATAAAAAATATTCCATTATTCTGTGTGAATTCTCTAGATCGTTCCTACCGCATTAATTTCCACATTACAAAACCTGTATTCCGATAATATCTAAATTGATATCGCAAGATTCAGCATCAATTACCATTAAGTTGCTCAGGATTAATGTAAAATGAAACGCGAGCGTTTGCCATTACGCAACTCGCTGCGCTTGTTTTTTACTCGAGCAGCTAAGTTAATCGCACAGTTTTTAATCTTTTTAGTTTCCAAGAACAAAGATTTATTGTCTACAAAAATATCAGCTTTATGATCATTCGTGTGGAAATATGCTCTCGTATTAACCAAAACGTCAAAACGAAGATCTAATATACACGTGTATACACGTACAACTTTATGTATGTATGTGTTGCGTCAGCAAACTTATTCTTACACATACTTATTATTTTACACGCAAAGTTCCGTTCTTTATCTTTTATGTTGGGATTTTCAATTTTAATGCTGAATAAACAAAGCTTGTACTCAAAATGTCACATGCACTTAACTCACAGACGTAAGTTAAATACGTGCTGATATGTTTCAGACTTAGATACACAGACTTAATCGCGTTGTTGTTCACATCAGAGAGCGTTATTGTTCATATTAGACACATTATCATTTTGTTTCGAGATTTATCTAGAAAAAGAACATTTGATCGAGCGAAATATACGTGCTTACGTACATTTATTAATTTAATTAGCAATATATAAGCAATAATTTTTATTCATAAATTGAGAAAAATAATATAAGTTTATTGCCGATGAGTTGTTGAGAACTTGCTGTTATTATATTTTGAAAACTGTTGCTGGCAAGAACATATTGAAAAGAGGATACACCCTTTTGTTACATTGCTGAAAACATCCGAATAATATTTGTGGCAAGTTGCCAACAACTTGCACTCAGTTGGCTATCTAACAAACGCTTAACGCGTTTGTATTATCGATGCAATTAAGTATCATTAATGTCATGTAAAAACTATACGTTCGCTACCGTTGTATGTACGCGCTTAATAAAGAACATGCATTGTGCGTTTTGAGTTATGCATGACACGCGTGATCATTTTTTATGTTACATTGGACAGACGCCGGCTTAGCAATCTTCGTGAATTTTTAATCCGTCAGTTTGTAACTTGTTGATTGCTTTTGGTCGATGTTAAATTTATATATTATTAATTAATTAATGTATTATCTTGCACATCTAATGAAGATCTCTGAGTTTTACAGAAACTATCGATCTACGATTATCGGACCATCTTATATCTTATATGTTTTATTATCCCGTTGTGTCGTACTGAATTCTTCAGACGATCATTTATCTGTATCTCCGTTGATACGTGAAATGACATTTTAGTAGACATACGCAACGAACGTCTTTATATTTTTTAAAGGAAAATTTTCTGAATATCTGTTGGCTATTAATGTTCAAAACTAGCTTTGTTTTTTTTTTTTTTGTTTTCATAATTATGTTAATTTTTCTTTTTCTTTTATTACTCACTTCTTATATATTTTCTCTTTTTGTTTTGTTTTTTATTAATATTGTTTGTATTAAATTTTGTTAAAGTTCTTAACGCTTGAGGGGATCTCATCCCAGAGCGTAAATAAAAAGCAAAATCAATCAATCAATCAATCCCGTTCATAACACTCACCATTTCGGACATGGGTATTCCACTCTCTACCATTTCAGCGTTTACACAAACAAACACGTTCTTCGAGACTTCAACGCTAATCTAATTCGAGAGAATTCTCATTGAGAGATCGAACACGTTTAAAAACACGAACACGCCCGTGCCTTCCAATAAAGTGTAATCGTGTCCAAATGCAAAAGCGATCGCATGTCACGAAAACTGTATCGTGCTGTCTTTTATAATATACTGCAATGATACTGCTGCCCTCGTCAGCTATATCAAAGCAACATGTACATTTTAGCTAGTGTATTCCCCTTCCCAAGCAAACGTTTAAGAATATAGAATGGATAAAGCAATATCAATATAACTTGTGCGGTATATATATAGTTTAGAGCTCTTAGGATATTTGTTGAAATCATACTACGAAATCAGCTCTAATAAGTTTGTCTGGCTCTAATAAGTTTCCATTAGCAGTTTATTAGCAGTTATAGATATATCATTCCTATATATATATATATATATATGTAGTTAAAATAAGTTACTTATATCCATCTAAATATATATACAACTTAATTTTAAATGAATCTTGCCTTTAGATCTTGTCTGGATCTAAGTGTAGAAACCAATCATATTGAAGAATCACTAAGCGCTCACTGATCTGCTCAGTCTGCTGAACATGGGCTATCTTTGTTCTATACATTTAAACAGTTTTAAAGACGGGCTTGATGCTCAAAGTGTCCGAAGCAAATCCACTCCGTGAGAGCGCAAGATTCAAATTTGGCGCCAACCTTTCGGACTGTCACTTACGGGACGATCGTCCAGGCGGCGCTGGAAACGCGCTTGTTCGCCCTTCCTTCAAGTGGCGAGTTTGAAGGTTCGGTATCCCCCTGATTGTTGCCGAGCACTTCGCTCGTTGCCGGAGGAAAGCCGCCAAGTAATTGTCAAAATGGCGGCTTGCGAAGGTTCGGTAAATGTTAATCCGAATTGTGAAAAGGTGCGCGAACAGATATTCGAGGTCGGGCCTCGCTACACAAACCTGGCGTACATGGGCGAGGGTGCTTACGGCATGGTCGTGTAAGTATTCATCATGTCGAGTTCCTTTTACGGTTAACCGGTGACCGATTTTCGGCCGCGCCATCGAGATGAACCATCTGACAGAGGACCAACAGGCCTGAGATAAACAGTGATAACAACGTGACGTTACGATTCGGTGTGCGTTAGATCGCGTAGCATCGAGAGATTACACACGTACACACACGCGCCGAAGAGAGAAAATGTGCATGTGTGTGTGCGTGATGCGATTTTACAAAGATCATGTCAAAATAAATTGCAGTGTCCTGCGAGCGTAGAAGCCATCAATTGTAATACGCGACGACGCGTACGTCATTCTGCGCCGCTACTTTCGAATACATGTCACGCCCTTTTTACTTTTCTCATATTTTCTTACGCATCTCGTTTCTAATTTGTTTTTTTTTTTTGTTTTTTTTTGCATATCGTTCTTACACTTTTGTCTTTTTGTTCGTTTACCTGCCGCATATTCCGCTACATATCGCCGCGCGATAATAAGATTGCGTTTCACGATGTAATCTTATCGGTTTGATAGAGCCCACATCCTAGTAAGCCGTGACGAATTACACAAAAAGTAAATGTTAACGTAACACGTTTCCTCGTAGCGTCGTAGACTATCGCTTAAAGCTTTTATAATTTTTATATTATGTGCGGTTGTACGTGTTACAGCTGCAAATTATTTGCAAATGCTTCAAGTTTTTGTTTTACTTCAAATATGTTAAGAAATATTTTATTCTTCAGAGTATTTATAATAAAACCTGAAGCATCTTTAATTTATTTTTTTTATTTTTTATTATCTTTTTTATCTCTCCGTTCAGTTGTTATAAAATCCTAAGAGAACACATAATTTAAACTCTTGAAATTTAGTAATTAAATCGCTTTTAGGAGTAAATTTTTTAATACGATGGCAAGTTATTAAGTCAAGTTAAAAATTACTTGGGATTTTGAAGAAACTTTCGATAGTGGTTAAGAGTTAATAAAGTATTCATGTACCTACTTGTCTTAAGCTGTTGTATGTCTTGCAGTGGAAGACAAGATCTCAATATTTTTCCTTCTAGAAATAAAAATTATCTTCATTCCTTGCTCAGAGCAGTTTGTCTTTTATTCATAGTCTACCACACGCTTATGTGTCACACAAGATATTTTAAAATTTAAAAGAAAGTATATAGAAGCATTAAGGGCAATGGATGTCTACTTAAATAACAAATGAAACTAAAGCTGTGTCTTTTTTTTTTTTTTTTTATCACTTTTACAGATCTGCCTATGATAATGTAACGAAAACAAAAGTAGCTATTAAAAAAATTTCCCCATTTGAGCATCAAACATACAGTCAGAGAACCTTAAGGGAAATAAAAATTCTTACAAGGTTTAAGCATGAAAATGTAAGTCTAATTTATGTGAAATTAATTTTTTTTTTTAAATTAAATCTCGCATCGTACTAACACTGTTATTTTCTTCGACAAGATAATAGACATACGAGACATATTACGAGCACCTACCATAGAACAAATGAAAGATGTATACATTGTTCAATGCTTGATGGAAACTGATCTCTACAAATTATTAAAGACACAAGTAAGGATTCACATGTGTAACAATAATATCAAATCTCTGAAGTTGCCACAAATTAAAGAAGAAAACAATTTAAAAAATTGATGTGACTAATTCGAATCTTTTTTGTTTTTCAGTCTATTAGTAACGATCACATATGTTATTTTCTTTACCAAATATTGCGAGGACTTAAATATATACATTCGGCAAACGTCTTACACAGAGACCTGAAACCGAGTAACTTATTACTGAACACGACCTGTGACCTTAAGATTTGCGATTTTGGTTTAGCAAGAGTCGCGGATCCAGAACACGATCACGCAGGTTTTCTCACGGAATACGTAGCCACAAGGTGGTACAGAGCTCCGGAAATCATGCTTAATTCTAAGGTACTTATTAATTCATTCTAAACAAGCATTCGAAAAATAGCAACTGCACATAAGTGTTGTTAAATCTTTTATTCTAACACGACCCTTTCTGTGTAGGGCTACACCAAATCTATAGACATTTGGTCGGTTGGTTGTATTTTGGCGGAAATGCTCTCGAGACGACCGCTCTTCCCTGGAAAACATTATCTGGATCAATTGAATTACATTCTTAATGTTCTCGGCTCACCTTCGGCAGAAGATCTCGAGTGTATTATAAACGAGAAAGTACGAGAAAACTATGCTCACACTCTTTTTGTATCTCTTTATGACCTGATATTGCAATATATATATAGTTGCAGATTGCACTTTGCAATCTGATAGCGATAAAAACCTTTCTGATTTCAGGCACGCAATTATCTACAATCATTACCATACAAACCGAAAGTACCGTTCACGTCTCTCTATCGTGATTCAGACCCGAGAGCTCTGGATCTCTTGGACAAAATGCTTACGTTTAATCCTAACAAACGTATTGTGGTTGAAGATGCGCTGGCACACCCATATTTGGAACAATATTACGACCCTGCCGATGAAGTAAGTTTTATGCAATCATGAGACGATACAGACAGAATGTCAACACGTTTTAGAATTTACATTTGTAATTAACATTTGAATTACAGCCTGTGGCACAGGAACCGTTCAGATTTGACATGGAATTGGACGATCTTCCAAAGGAAATATTGAAACAGTATATTTTCGAAGAGACTCTGTTGTTCCAACAAAATCATCAGGAAAACGCTACGTAGTTGACTGGTAATGATTGATTCGACTTACTCGTCGAATTGCCGGATCTCGCGATCTATCTCCGATAATTCGAACGCTTTCTCCTTTGTATCAGACACATCGTTGCTGAAATCGTGATAGTGGATACTCGTGATAAACGAAAAACAAACAAAAAAAACAAAGAAAAAAAAAGAGAAAGAAACAAGAACAGTAAGATTGGCGTGAAGAAAATTTGTATTTTTTAGCGATATTATTCGCCGCTTCACTGCCACTCTAATTACCGACGAAACATACCAAGGTATTGATGAGATTTAGTTCAGCAATCAACGAATGATTTAATCGAAACCGGTTAATTGGGTGAGTGAAACATCCACACACACACACACATAGACAGTGTCCGCGCGCGCATACGCTTGTATATTTGTATCTCCTTACTGGAAAAGAGAAATACAATGTTTTTTTTTTTTTTTTTTTTTTTTTTACGTTATATCGCGAACGTAGCATAATACCACAATTTGGTACAATTCTTATCTTTTATTTACCATAGTATGTACCATACTGTACAGTTTATCTGTGATTTAATTATGAATTGCGAATGTGACGACGCATAACGTGCGACGCGTATTTTGTTTTTATTTTATCGTCTCCTTTTTCAAGTATTCAGTTTATATGTGTTTATATATATATATATAGATATATATATAGATCAAAATAGAAAAGGGCCAATACNAGGCAAAACACAGGATGTTGGTGTGAATCAGCAAAATTTATTCAAGTGCCAAACGTTTCGATCACAAGTTTTGATCTTCATCAGTGGCAACAAAATGAAAATTAAAAATTAAAAATTAAAAATTAGGCAGCACATCGACACATTTTGTAACGTGAGTAACGAACAAGAGTTTAATTCGTACAGAGTATTTTGATGAAGATCAAAACTTGTGATCGAAACGTTTGGCACTTGAATAAATTTTGCTGATTCACACCAACATCCTGTGTTTTGCCTTGTATTGGCCCTTTTCTATTTTGATCAATCTTTTCACGAGGTCTTAAAAACTTTTTGTATATATATATATATATATATATATATATATTCTATGTATATACATATATATGTATAAATATATATTTTATATATATTATATACATATATATACTTGTCTCTACTTTCTATTTTCAAGCAGGATGGCTGACATTGAGATTGCATCGCGTAACTTGTATGACGGAATAAAGTCAGGGCGAAAATACACGTTCGATTTATCATGTCTCGATGTTTCTTGTCAAGACGTTTAGAATTTACATTCAAAACGTTAAGTCCGATCAATTTCGGACGCTTGTGTAGAGATTCTGTGTAATCTACTTTGTATGATTTTTCGTCTTTTTTGTGTGTAAGACGTATAAGTGTGTGCGTGTATGTGTGTGACAAGATTCCTCTTGATATGTATATATAAGCAGTTCGTGATAGTCAATCGTTGTAGTGATTACACAACGTGCAAGCGATATAATCGGGAAGCCTACGAGAAAATAGAATTACGTATGTTGGAAAGTAATCGTGATCTTCTGAAAAAACGTGATAGTAACGATGATGCCCGATTTAATTAAGACATATGATTGAATAATACAATTCAAATATCAATAGAAAAAAAAAAAAAAAAAAAAAAAAAAAAAAAAAAAAAAAAAAAAAAAAAAAAAAAAAAAAAATACAAGAGTTCTACGTTTTAGTGTATTTATCATCATTCGAAGTTCATACAAGTTTTATATATAACATGATAAACCTCTCGTCGAGACCTTAAAGAACCTTCTGGAGAGTCAATATACTGGAATTAAAACTCTACTCCATAATAAAATTCGCTTAAAAGTTTTGCTAGGTGGTTTCGATGACTTTGTATTTTGAATTTTATTACATTGTCGAATCTACAAAGAAAATTTTCTCGGTCTTGTGTGTTCTCCCGTTCTCTAATTGATCGTGACATTTAAAATGCGGGAACTGCAGAGAAAGACAAATTGCCGAAAAGGAAATAAAATATTTATATTAACTGTTATCAATCTTCATATTCTTCGATGTATTCAATAAATTAATGATTAATGAAAACAATTCGTTATATGCGTAAGATTTTTGCCTAGATCTAAGATTTCTAATAATTATTCTCACGTTAAAGGTACATCGCGTTCTCTTCACTTTTTTTCCGTGAAGATATTGAAAGAGAACGTCAGAGATGCATTAAACAAAATAATTATTGTGTCTCGTTACCATCACACGTAATTTCGAGGAAAAAAAAAACAGTGTAATAATGTGTATCTTTCTTCATCGTTTCTCTATTATGCATTTATCTATTGCGCGCATTCAATTAGCGTGAGTTCTCGCGAATTTAACCATTTTTCCTTGGAGCGCTGCAAATTTCGATTGACGAGATACGCGCGCGAAAATTTGATAAGCGACAAATAAGTCTAATTACTTCGAGAAATATATATATATATACATATACATATATGTGGATAATTTCTTCCGAAATAAAATTACTGTAAGTGACAATCCTTAGCTGATCAACAGACTAAATTGTCAGGCTATAGACGATTGTGAGAATAGCATATTCATTGTAAACGCTCTTTGTTGTGTGTATAACTGAAAATGAAATAAATATACTTTTTGTTTCTGTGATCTACAGATATAGATCGCAGTCTTTGTTGTCATGTAAGTTTTTAATATACAAGTACAAAGAACAACTTTTAATAATATATACATAAATACATATATGTGTGTGTATATGTGTATACGTGGGAGCAAGAGAGCGCGCACGTGAGTGTCTAACAATAATATCTTTTTCAATACAATTTAAAATCGTGACTACACACACATATATGTACATATATATATATATATATAAGTATACATCAGTCAAGTAACATCAGAGATAAATTGCGATTCGATAATGTAAAGCAAATGAGGTTGTTTGAAGATCTTACCACAGACATATATATAATAAAATATAAAATATAAACGCAAAGTATTTGTGAGATGTAGAGAACATAAACAAATTCTAACATGCACGCTGAGACGTTTGTTACAATTGATTTATCGTATACAAATTGATGAGACAAATTAAGAAATGTTGCGAGAAAACTAGCACAATTGGTGAGAAGAGTAATAAGAAGCAACAAAAGATGAACTTTGAGGTGAGGTACTTTAAAAGTGAGATAAATCAGAAATGAGAATCAATGAGAGAAACGGTAGAGCGGAATATTAAAAGAGAAACAGTTTCAGCTTGAATATCAGAAGGTAACAAGTTGCAATATATTTTATGGCAGCATAGGAAAACATATATAGCCACTCTTGTTTAAAGTATTACTTTACAGTAAATGCTCGAAGTGGGCTCCAGGGCGCAAACAACATCATTTCAATATATTATATATATATATATATATATATGTTCGAACGAGCTGACTCTTCTGACAATTTCCTTGTAACGGGAATTTAACTCTCTGGAACTTATAAATGTAACTAAATATAGTTATTTGAAAAATAGATATACTTACTGTGTTCTTTACTCCAATGGTCTTTTATTGCCTTAAAAATTAAATAAGTAATGAAACTTGTACAATTCACATTAAATTATTATCGATTGTTATATTTCAGTTTTTTTAAGTATTAATATGCCAATATAAGGATGGCTTTTATAATATTCTCCAGGATAGCAATCACGTCTTTGTTCTCACTATTGTCATAAAATCTGATCAATCATAAAAACTGTTATGATTTTACATTAATCCCAAACTATTTCTTTCGCTTCTTTTGGTAAAGTACACTTATATGATTCATAATCGTTCCGCAAGAAGAGAAACAAATTTTCTTTTTATGACTCGGTTTCTTTCTTCATGTTCACCTCACAAACTGTTTCACACCAGTATTTTGCTGCTTCAGAAATTTATAAAATTATCTTCATCGGCTTTCTCGCATAAAAAAATGTTTTGTATACATTATCATTTTTTAAAATAATATAAAGAGATTAATTAAAAATCTTTATTTTTTTTTTTTCATAATTGCACAATGTGATCGGATTATTACTAAGTTATGTGCTGTTTTTAGCTAAAGAAATATCGTGTATTTGTAAATATACACACAATCTCTTTGTGTTTGATTTACATACATTAGCATCGGAAGCATCCATCAGCCTGTTTAGCGATACAAATAATACATATAAACGATTATTGCTAAAAGATTCGTCATAAACATGTATAACGTAGTATAAAACAGAAGAGTTCTTTTTACAAATTAAATCATTTTCCGCTGAGTTTCGATGATATACACGTGTATAAAAATAATCGAAATTTTTCTAAAGCCGATACTTTACAGATCTGATCAATGATCGGATTTTGTCATGCATGCGATCGTAATATGTATATATACGACAATATATACGTTATATGTATATATACAATGAGATTTTGTTGCACGCATGAAAAATATATTGTATAAAGTTCAACGATGTTGATTTTCGTTTGAAAACGAAAATTTGAATTTCGTGAGAAATCCTCCAGTTTTATGTATTCGTGAGCCATCCGAGAATCCAATGTGATCGGACGTGAGGTATCGGCTCAATAAAGAGATTACAATGATAAAACCTTGTAAATTGCATATATTTTTTTGCGCACACACAAATTTCGTCTTCTTATTTATATCAAATATTCCGCAAAAGTAACACTTGTCTTAAAATGATGCGTCCGTAAAATAAACGTGTTCTTTACAAATTTTAAATTTGTGAAAAATTAATTTGTACACACATCATTCTCGCTATCTTTTGTGTATTTATCGTTTCTTACTTCTATTCTTAGCGGTGAACGTCCTCTGGTGTGTTTTCCAATACGTGACCGTAGATCACCGCCTTTTAAAGTATTCCTCAAGTCGCGGCTGCTCGATTCCCTGGTCAAAAAAAAAAATACAACTCATAAATAGCTTTTACAAAAACATTACGTGTACGCACTAATTTGATATTTGTTTACCTGGTTCTCAAATAGCTGTTATTAGAAACCTCACTTTTGACATTTAATCTTGCCCATACGGTGGACGCAATGCGTGGCTTAGGTGGAACTACTTTAATCACACTTCCTTGCGGACCTTGAACTTCCCTCGCAGGCACATCATTATTTTCTTCACCGCTGCTGTCTTCGTCCTCTTTGTGTTCGGTTTCTTCCTCTTCCTCCTCTTTCTCATCTTCCTCCGCCTCCTCGATAAAGACATGTTGTTCGTGTGTTTGTTTCTCCTTTTCTTCTTCTTCTTCTATTTCTTCTTGACCATTTTCATCTTCTGATCCCTGCCATTCTCCCTCTTCTTTTTCCGATGATTGTGTTTCTCTCACAACGTGACGATCGTGCTGACGCATTGCATCGGAATTATTTCGTTTTGATTGTATTGGGTGCGTATTCACAACCACTACTTGAATAGGCTCGTGGAATTGCTTCTTCATTCTCGGTCTTTCCAATTTTGATCTTAAGTCGTTACTGTTATTTAAATTATTAAGAGTCATCTAAACAAAAAAATCGATATATATATATTACACAATAAAAGAATAAAAGAAATCGTACTTCTAATAATAATAATAATAATAATGATAATAAAACTAACTTGATACTGTTTTAATCGCCGCTTCTGTAGCTTCTCTTCTTCATCGTCGGCATGCATTCGCATGCGAGGAATTTTACTCCGCGTACACCAATCCTCATCACTGTCGCTATTCGAGCTTGCTTCTCCTGATTCTTCCTTCTGTGCTACATCTTTGTTTGAGCATTTGACACCCAATCTCTCTTTTATATTACGTCCTTGGTCTCGAATGGGATTTTTTTCATTTTTCGGAAGAAATTCTCTCTCAACAACATCATTCAAACCCCATGTCTCAGATAATGCACCCCACGGATTTTTCACTTCATTTTTATGTTTGTCTTCGTCTGTTAGATTGTGGTTATCTTGCTGACTCTGCCTGTACGCACGCTTGCGAGACTCTGTCAAAATTCCTTTAATACCTGTGAATATTTGCACACGAGTAAAATTCTATTTCGCTGTAAAATAAAGTGAGTATATATATCGTGAAAATTACTTGTAAAATTTTTCAAATGTCTGACATTTAATATTGTATGCATATATATGCAAAATTACATAGAAGTTTTACCTCCAAAATTAGGGTTCCCATACTTCTTGTAATATTCGCTCGACTTTTCTGCTTTACCTTGCTTTTTGTCCATTCTAGTGGCAAATCTTAAAAAGATTCCTTTAGATTTCGGATGATCTATGCCTTTTCTCCATATACCAGGAGGTAATGGACAATTAATATCTTTAATGTTTATACAATTCTCTTTTCTGTCCTTATCCACATCTGTAAGTTCATTTTCACTGTATTTTATTATATCACTGTCTGTTTTGCTGTCCACATTTTTTTCTCGATCCGAATATTTCGGAACACTGCCCTGAATACGTTTAGATAACCCTAGCATAGCTCTGGCTGCTGATACATTATCAAACCAAACCACATTGCCTGTAATAAAGTATACATGTAATTTTATTTATTTATATCAATAATTTTCCAGATTTAGATTGTGAACATACATGAAACATCATTGATCCATTCAATAGTTTGCGGAGCATAGTCTTGGAAGTACTTAAACACATCTTTAGTGCTCATTTCTTCAGTTCCTCTCATGTGAATTACATTCAGTCTAACATTTTTTGCATTTTCGCTGTCATCGGTAATACCCATGCTACAAAGATATATCGAAACATATAAGAGTTGAATATTTATCACTTTTACATTCCAAAAAGCAAACTTCTTACTCGTTATATAAATCCTCTTCTTCATTTGAAACTTTAGATTTCTCTGTCAAACCAAAACGCTTTGCTCTCTCTTCCATTTTCAATCTCTCCTCTTTACTAAATACATCAATGCCTGTTGTAAATGTACCCAAGGAGTTTTCAAGATTGTCTAGCGTCTGCTTCTAAACATTTACAATAGAAAGTACATTTAATCATAATAACATTAATTATAATTATCCAATGCATAACATCAATTAAGATTAATCAGTCTTCGTTACCCTCGGATTCGATCTTTTATTGACATCTTCTTCTTCGATAGGCACCATCTCAACGTCCGATTCTTCATAATTGTCCATCGCATCCGTGTGAGTAAGATAGATATGCGTCGAACGTACTTAAAATATTGCTACAAAAAGTAAATGAATACGACGTATTGTGTAAAAACAATCCAGTTCTATATCGAATAACGACTCTTCAAGCACGTATTGGCATTGAGATTACGTAGATACTACTTCACGGATAGGGTTCAGTAGTCGCTCGATAAATGCTTCAAAGCATCATTCTATCTTTGTCTACAGTTAAGGAGAAATAAGGACAGAACGATATTCTGAAATATTTGGAATGTAACTCGAACTCTATCCTACAGTTTACAAATAAGACATAACCCACACATAACCACCGATGACTGAGTAGCAGCAGCGTTGGAGATGCAGTTGGGAGATAGCGTGAAAATCTCATGGAAAGTCTCCTGTGCGCTTGCGTAAAGGTAAAGGCCGTAGCAAACAAAATGACAAGAATCTGATTGGTGCTGACGTCATCATGCCATGACATTAATTAACCCTTTCTCTCCTACATATGTCATATGTGCCGATGTTGCGTATATTGCAGCACATGCTTCACACATGTATATAACAAAATAGTTTCAAAAATATTTATACGTATATAAAAATGTGTGAAAAATAATAAACTAGTTTTTTACTTCTTTTCGACAAATAAAAAGAAATAGTAATGTCAGGTAAAACTGTATTTGTCACAGTTGGCACAACAAAATTTGACGATCTGATAACTACAGTATTAAGTAGCGAGGTTCTAGAGGTACTAAACAATATTTTCTTTATGTACTTTACTTCTAAAATACTGGCATAGATTACTCAAAAAGTCTGCTAAACATAAAAATTGGATTGGATTGTTTATTTTTACACATACATTCAACAGAGCTACAATTATTGTTACAATTTTAGGCTTTGTCAGTTCGTGGTTACAGACGTCTAATTTTGCAAATTGGAAATAGCAGTTTAGAGCCAGATTGCACCGCACGTTGTGGTTTCTCAAAAATAGAAGCTTTTAACTTGGTTCCATCCATTGGAAAGTACATGGAATTAGCAAATCTTGTGATAAGTCATGCAGGAGCAGGAAGTGTGTTAGAAGCTTTGGAAAAACAAAAGCATTTAATTGTAGTAACTAATGATCTCCTTATGGACAATCATCAAGTGGAACTGGCTGAGCAGCTGTATAAAGATGAACACTTATATTACTGTACTTGTAAATATTTGCTAGATACTATAATAACAGTAGATTTAGCAAAGTTGAAACCATTTATTACCGATAAGAGTGTTGCTATTGCTGAGTTTATTGATAAGATAATGGGATTCAGATAAATAATTTGGGAAAAAACTTGGTTATTAATTTTCAAGAATGAAATTGCTAGAAGAATAAGCAGTAATATTTATATATATTTCAGTTTTTAACATGTTATTCATAAAGGACATATGTTTGATATATTTGTTATATGCTGAATACAATTTACAATAATAGTACACTGTATATATAATCAACCATTTTTCAAACTTATATACTTACATATAGAAAAATTTATATCTTTTTATATATTAGTTAAAACTGTAAGTTAATGGCAGTTTAACAATTTCTTAGACTGTTTATAACATGAAGATGTAATTTATCAAGACACATCTGTTAACAGAATAGATAAGGTAAATATAATATAAACAATGTGTTATTAAAATAAAGTTAGGTCTTTAAAAACTGATTTTAACTGTAATTTTTAGCAGGTACCAGCATAGTTTTATATATGTTTTATATTACGACCAGAATTCAATGTTTTATTCATAAGAATAACTTTTTTTCGTACTTTATTATTATTACACCGCTATATTCTGTGTGTTATTGCTGTATGACATACTTTCCATTGATTCCACATGAAGACGTATTTAGACACGAAGAAAACTACACAGAATTATAGGAGTGCGAGTTTAATTACTAACTAAACCCAATCGTGTCATTTCTTTCAGAAGTTCATTGCCCATTTGCGCAGGACTCCTTGTTACTATTACTCCAGCCTGATAAAATTTACAATACTCTCGATTTGTAAACGACAATATTTTATTTTACAAATTAGTTAAAAAAGTAATGACCAATAGGTTGTGTTGCTCACCTTCTCAAGTGCATTAATTTTATCTTGCGCTCCACCTTTTCCTCCTGAAATTATGGCACCAGCATGTCCCATTCTTCGTCCAGGTGGTGCAGTAATGCCAGCGATAAACGATACTACTGGCTTAGATTTCGCACCCTACAGCATAAAGACACGCAATGTAAAAAGATATTTGAGTGAAAGAGCATAATAATAAATGGATTCCAAGCACAAGTAAAGGGCAGGATTTGGCCAGGATGGATTGGAATTCATCAATTCAGAGTAGCAACCAACAGTATTTTTCTCGATGAGATACTCCGCTGCTGATTCTTCCGCACTGCCACCAATTTCTCCTATCATTATGATACCATCGCAATCTGAATCGGTAAGAAACACCTCTAAACAATCGATAAAATCAGTGCCATTGAATGGATCGCCGCCAATACCAACGCATAATGTTTGCCCGAGTCCAGCCTTGAATATAATATTTGATTAATGCTTTTGATAATGCATTGTATTTAATATAATGCACGTACATACAAACATATATAGTATACAAGTGAAAACATACAAGAGTTGTTTGATTCACAGCCTCGTAAGTTAGAGTTCCCGACCTGGATACAATACCAATTTTCCCTTTTTGATGTATATGGCCAGGCATAATACCGATTTTACACTGCAATATCATACAAAATAAGATTTTTAAAATTCTTAAGTATGTAAATTTGTACAGTTACCTGTTCAGGTGCTATTATTCCAGGACAGTTTGGACCGATTAAACGAGATTTATTCTGTTCAAGTAAACGTCTCTTTACTTTTACCATATCATGTTGAGGAATACCCTCTGTAATACAGACAATCAATGGCATCTCAGCCTCTATTGCTTCCATAATGGCTGAAGCTGCAGCTGGAGGAGGAACATAAATAGCTGTTGCAGTAGCTCCAGTAGCCTCTTTTGCCTATAAGACAAAAGTATAATAAACATATTTTACAAAATAATAACAGGATTATAATATATATAAAAAAAAATATATATATATAAAAAATATATTTGTATCTGAGTAAATAGCATATACATACAAAGTATATGTATACAACGATACCAACCTCCTTTACTGACTTATATACTGGTTTTCCAAGATGTTCTGTTCCCGCCTTCTTTGGACTAACTCCACCTACTATCTTTGTACCATAGTCAAGAGCTTGTTGAGAATGGAAAGTGCCTTGCTTCCCAGTAAAACCTTGACATATTACTTTAGTATTTGCATCAATTTTTAAATTTTTCCTAGTTTCTGTATAATTACATCTTACTTGTGATCTTAATAAACTTCCACAGTTCCTGACTGAAAAATTATAAAAAAATAACAAGTCATTAATATATGAATTTTCACTTTTTTTCTCTGTTAATATGTGAATTTATTTTATAACTATGTTTCTAATATAATAGTATATTAAGAAATTGTTAGAATTTCTATATACTTATAACTGAAATGAATATTATAAAGTATAATTTAGTGTTACAAATTATTATTCTTTATTTAATATGTTAAACTTAAGTCTATATATATGTTCCAATATACTATAAATTAAAGATAAAGAACATATTTGTTGTTTTCTATTATTGTCTCTCTTATTAAAAATTAAATTAACACAAAACTCTCTTCATAAAAAATCTGATAGTTATATAAAATAAACTATACAGGCACACCAATATAAATATTTGGCTTGAAACACAATATATTCTGCAAAGTATAAAAAAAGTCTAACAAAAAAGATGCATGTGAGATAATACTGTTGACATTTGAGAAAGGAATTTAATTGTAGAGGGGGGGGGAATCATGATTATTACAGCAAGCAAATCATCCAATTACTTCGAGTACTGTGCGCAATAAACTCATACAATATTCTGCATTATTAACTGTTAATTGATAAAGTGGGCCTTCTTCTATATAGTGCAAAAAATGTGTGTATATAAAAACATTGTGTCCTTTCTTATATAATGAAATATTATCATAAACGCACGAGATGTCAGTATTATTTTTAGTCCGTTCATCAGCTGTGCGCGTGGCGTAACAAGTAAAAACGTTGGGAATAAGCTGTTTAAACATTGAAAAGAATATTTAAAGCAATAACGCGCGAAGGTTACGGAATAGAAACGAATGCGTCGAAAAAAACTCCCACCTGTAAATTTTGAAAACGCCCTGGTAGCCACGGCCATCTTCTAATTTCCGTTTGAAGAGAAGAATAATATTAAAAATACAATTAACACAAAACTATCATGAAAAGAAACGTCTGATGTACTCTGACAATAAGGTCAAGTCCAAAGGGTGGGAACGGAACAGAACAGTCAGAGACAGTCGGCAAATATCGCATGAAACTGAAACTGTGGGGACGAACCATGAACTACCAGAGCCAAGCAGAGAGGAATCTCTCTGCTTTCAACTGTATAAATTGAGAACAGGTGATATTGAATTGCGATTATTTAAAAACGCAATATTTATTTTTTCATTAAAAAATCCATTTTGTAAAAAATCGGACGAGTTTTCGTTCATTCGATTTCTTTTCTCAATAGTATAGTTAAAATCGTCTCATTTGCAGATGATATACGAGTATTAGTTTTATTGGCTGCAGAGCATCTGGAGATAAACTTAAGACAATCTTACATATAAGATTCGACTACGAATAGGCCTTAAATCTCTTTTGCGTATTGCCATATTGGTCGATTATTCAGATGACCAATCGCATCACACAATAATATTAAATTAAATCCGCAATGGTTGCAGTTTCCAATAATTAGTATAAAAATATAAATTTTCTTTGAGTTGTTTTGCACATATCACGATACAAACACATTTGTTCATTGCGCAAATCATGTGTTCACAAATATAAATATAAGATATAACATTATTATAGAGTAGATGGAGATGTGGATGTGTATGAAAAAAATATACATTTATTTATTGTAAATATTTTATGTACGCTTCAAATATAAATCAATGTTTACGTATGTATATATATATATATAGCAAATAATACACACATACAAAAAGAAAAATGATGTTTTAATTGTCGTCAGTGTGTTTTGACTTCTTTTTTTTCTTTTTCTGTAAAGATGTATTCGCTTCTGCTTCACCGTTTTCAATGGATCCGTTCATTTCACCTTCATTACTTCGTCTCTTCCTTTTCTTTTTCTGTTTTTCTTTCTCTTGTTTTTCCAATGCAGCTAACGCCTGTTTAGTTTCTTCCAACGCAGTCTGCATCACATTTAAATTCTTTGTCGGTTCTTTCCCAGTTTCAAAAAATTTCAATCTTTCCTCTACTTGTTCTCGCAATTTATTGCCAAATATGTTCAACGGTCTTTCTGAGAAGCAGTCGATCCTAGAAGCAATGGAACATTTGTTCGCGAGGAACCTCGCGATTCGACCTTTATTTTTGGGGTCAGCACGGCCAATAAACGAAGAATGGAATAACAATCCGTATTTTGGAGTGTTTCCCTGTCTAGATTTCAATGCTCTGAATAAGGCTTTTTCTGCTCCTAAAATCTGAATAGTAGACGCTGGAGCCTTTGCTAAATTAGTAAGCGATCCGGCATGAGCTATTAATTTGGCGCCGACATGTTCCCCGATCAAAGTAGCAAGACTCGGTGCTATTGTTTCCATCTTTTTTGCTAAATATTCGACCATTTTTTCTTTATACCTCACCAAACCAACAATGCGTCCCGAAAAACTTTCGATATTTGTCAAATCCCTTTCAGTTATGTCCATTCCCATCGATATTTTCGCTGCATCAATAATTGCCTTAACTTTTTGGCTGTCCATAAGAATGTCTTCCAATTGCTGCTTTAGTGCTTCTTCATCTCCTAATTCCTTCCTGTCTTTTATTAATCCTGCTACTTTGGCATATAAGTAATTTTCAGGAACGATCTTTACAAGCTCTGGAAAATGATAACTATACCATTCTCTGAAATTACAAAACAGACATCTCTCATTATTATTTTCACTATCATCAATTTTATTTCCAGTGTACTTAAAATAAAGTTACTTGAACATACCGTATACGCATACTAAATGTGTTAATATCCTTGTCCAACTGGTCCAATAAAGTTATGCACTGAATAATCATATTGTCCACTCTGTTTACATTGAATTTAACTTTACCTCTCGAATAACTGTGTCCAAGTCCTAGTTGAGCAATTTTTGCATTCTGCTCAGTGACATCATCACTTATCAAATTATGAAAATGATATCTTATTCCTCGTATAATTTCAAGAACAGTATCATTATCGGGCATACATTGTATACCCAAAGTTACATTAATATTTTTAGTAAACTGTTTGTCTTGTGTCTGGTCTATAATACCAAGAAAAACAGACTCTTCCTCAGTAGATTTTGGTATGCAACTATCTAAAAAAAGCTGCAAGTCTTTTGAAACAATTCCTTCAGATATACAGTTCATATTGTGTAAAGCTGTTACTGCTGTTTTGAAAGGTAAGACTCCAACAAGGCTTATTACACTACGAAAACGTGACAAATCTGTTATAGAGTTTTGCACTTCAGATGACAGCAGTTTAATTTTTTCGACCTCTTTAGTAAGAAACACAGCGTATCCAACTGCATGTTCAAACAAAATGTAATGTTTCGTCTTCGTCTGTAAAGCAAGTAAATAATATGATTCTTAATACATATATTCTGCAACATATATACTTTGTTCGATTTTATATTTAAATAAATACAATAATATATACTACACAATAAAATATGAAAAATATCTATGTATTCAGACACGTGTACGCACACACGCCCATACACGCTCAAGAGCGCACGTGTTTATGCGGAAAGAAAAAAGAAATAAACCTAAATGCTATATAAAAACTTGTTGCTTGTACATACCATTTTTTCACAATTTGTCGTCCAGAAAACAAAAAAAAATAACAAAAGAAAGAGATGCCAGTTTTAAGACGCTTGCACCATTTAACAGCAAGTGGAAGCAGAAGTAAGAATGAGAGCGGCCATCAGTGTTCTCAGTTTTGGCTCTATTACAGCATGCTAAAGCGGTAGAGGGCATGCGCACAACAGCAGCGAGTTCTAACTGCATGAACTTGCTGCTGTTGTGCGCATCTCTTCCACCGCTTCAGCATGCTGTAAAGCATATGTCACACTACGGATTAGGATTGAGATTGGATTGCAATTTGGCCAATCAGAGCAAAGATCACTAAACTTGGGATTGGTTTTCTTTTTTCTGATTGGTTAAATTTCAATCCAATCTCAATCCCAATCCGTAGTGTGACATAGGTTTAATTTTCACTACATTGTACGGATACAGAATCGACCTTCAGGTGCAGCCATAGACTTATATAATAGACGGAACATTTATATGACGAAGTTGAGAACAACATTAAATAGTGCTGGAGTAGTTGTCTCTCTCTCTTACAATAAGATGGTAGGGGACCAATCATCTCACAAGTCTATGCTATCACCTTTCACTATTACTTTCTCTCAACTGACTCTCGAACTCTATCTCCGTTGCTCTCGGCCTGCCGCGGCCACCAATCAACTAACTGCTAGAAAAGAAGAGAATTACTCCACGACTATTTCTGTCTCTTTTAACGAAACTTCAGCTCTTCTTACACGAATGTTCCGTCTATTATATAAAGCCCCTTGCACAATGGAAGGAATAGCGATAGCGATAGAAATAACACAGTTTTAGACACATGAATTCCAACTCGTTGGAAATTTTATCGCTGTTGCTTATTCTGATTTTTTGATCTGCATTGATACATGTGTATTTTTGTATGTTAGATTCCGCTGTTCCTACCGTTATTTATAAATATAAACTCTTTACAACTGGTATTATTTCTATCGCTATCGCTATTCCATCCATTGTGCAAGGGGCTTAAGTCTATGGGTGCAGCTGCTCCAAGAATTGCGACGATTGCAGGTCGGATGCGGACAGCGGAGGCGACAGCTAGCGTCCTAATCCTAAGGGCGATGTCCCATTGAGCGGAAATATATAGCGGAACGGAATGTGCGGAACCAGCTCGACCAATCATAGCCATTCCGTTTTCTTTCCTTCGCTTTTTCTATGGTTACGATTGGTCGAGCTGGTTCCGCACATTCCGTTCCGCTATAGATTTNCGCTCAATGGGACATCGCCCTAATAGAGCAAATTGGGAATAGCGTTGCGCACGGGATTGGCGGGATACTCAATGACTATGGAAATGGAAGCTTTCTAGTAGATGCGCGAAATGGTCAAGTTTTTGTTTATTTGGTTTCTCTTCTTTCGATCCAGTGTAGTAGATTAGATTAGATTGTTTATTGATTCCCCTTAGGGTTACACAAAACCTTATACAAAAAATCTTACATCTACTCTTACAACTAACCTTACAACTAACTTAAAACTAAAATACCTATATACACACACACACACGCAATCGCTTTACCCTACTCTACGCAATGTGGACCTCCCCTTCCGGCAATCAACTCTATCCAGCTACTCCGCCATTGGTTCCCATTCTCTCTTCACTCTCGTACATACAATTACACAATTCTTTCCACACATCCATTCACTCAACTTCCACTCATTCAACTTTCATCCCTCCCTTCATAATCACTCCTCTCCCTCCCCTTGTCCTACCTACCTCCTTTTCCGTTCCCCTATATTCCTCCAACCTCCTTAACCATCCTTCCCCCTCCCCCTCCTCCCACAGCACCACTTCAATCATGTCCTCCCAATTCCCCTCCGCCCCCCCATACCCCACAATCCTCCCACACATGCCTCCAACCCTCCTCCACTAATCCACACATTCTACACACTCTTTCCTTCTCTCCTTTCCAGTATCTACCTTCTTTCATCTCGTTCCCCAACCTAAACCTAGCCACCCTCTGACATCTGCTTTCTCCCCACCCCTTTTTTAAATACACTCCTTCCTTCTTAATCTTCCCGTACCATCTATTGTACCTCGAACTTTCAATCCTTTTCCATCTCTCCTCGCTCTGCATCCTTCTCTCCTTCTCTATCAACAACTGAGCTCTCCATTTTCCTGCCTCTCTACTTTTCCTCGTCTCCGCTATCCTTACTCCCCTCTCCTCATAATATTTTATCCTGTCATTCTCCCACTCAGACAACCCCTCCCCACTCCCCTCTCTGCCCCTAATCTCCTTTAAACATAGCCTCGCTATTTCGCTATCCTCTCCTCTTTCCAATCTTTCCTCAAATCTCCAGGCCCTCTGCCCCGCCCTTCCCCTTAATAAATCCCTCTGCACTTCTTCCCTTACAATATACCCCGGAGTTCTCCAATCTACTCCCAACAACCACCTTATATACCTATTTTGTAACCTCTCCAAGCTATCCCATTCTCTCCATCCCCATATCCAATCACTGGCCAAACCAATACGTCGAACAACCATAACCTTCTACCCCAATCCCCACCGAACCTCCTCTTTCCAATCCCCCACACCTGACTCATAATAGCCGTCCCTTTTCTCACTCTCTCTTTTATCTGCGCCTCCCTCCCCCCGTTCCTCTGAAACACATACCCTAAATATTTGTGAATTCTCTCACCTCCTCCAATCTCTCCCCCTTCCACCACCATTCCAGCTTTTTCTTCCTCTCCCCTCTTCTCCTAAACCTCATCACTTTTGATTTATTTACGTTTACTTCCAAACCCTTTCCCGCCAGATATTTTTCCATCCCTCTTATCATTCCCCTCATCCCTTCCTCCTCCTCTGCTAACAGCACCAAATCATCCGCATACGCCCCAATACATAAACTCTTCTTCCTCCTACCTTCACCCCACTCCATCCGTTCCTACCCAAATAGTCCTCCATATCCGCCGTCAAGTTCACAGATTGAACAGATACGGGCTCAACGGACATCCCTGTCTCACCCCTCTACCTGTCCAAAATTCATTCCCCACCTCCCCCCTGCCGCCACCCTATTCCTCGTCTCTCTATATAAGTCCCCACACCTTCCCACTAATCCCTCCCTCACCCTTCTCTCCCTCATCACTCTTACCAAAGTCTCCCTATTGACCGTGTCGAAAGCGGCCCTCAAATCTATAAATAATGCAATCAACCCACCCCCCTTCCTACTTAAATTTCTGCTAACCAGGTAATTTACCACATAAATGTTATCCATCGTACCCCTTCCTCTCCTGAACCCCGCCTGGCTCTCCGGAACCAAATTCTTTCCCTCCACCTCCTCCCTTAACCTTTCCGCTAACACCTCCGCATACACTTTATACAATGACCCGGCCAACGTCACACCCCTATACTCCTCTACCTTATTTCCCTCTCCTTTTTTCAGCACTGGCACCACTATCCCCTCATTCCACTCATCAATCCACCTCTCTCCTGCCCAAATCCTCCTACATATATTCCACACCCAGTCCTGCATATTTCTTCCTCCAAACTTCGATACCTCTGCTGGTATACCATCCCCCCCTGGTGCTTTCCCTACCCTCAATTTTCCAATCGCCCTTATAATTTCCTCCCTTCCTACATCCTCCTCTCCCTCCTCCCTCTTTCCCCTTTCTCCTCGATCCAGTGTAGTATATACACATAATAATATATATATATAATAATATATATATAGCATATATAAAATAAATATAAAATATGTAGATAATATGTACATATTTAATCTATTTCAATATGTAATATAAATAATTTAATTAAAATAATTTTATCGTTATACACATGTATTTATAAACAATTTAAACATTTACTTATTAACATTTTTATTGTTATACATGTATTTATAAACAATCTTCAAAATTTATGTATGTACACATATATTTTGAAGAGATAGTTTATAAATATATACATAAACTTTAAATTTATAACAATACAAAGATATCAACTTTGTTATTCTGCAACTATTAACAAAACTTTCGGTATTGCACAGCTATTTCGTCTTTGCAACATTCATAAACGTTACTTTTCCAGAGACAAGATGCGTATGTTAAAAAGTTACGAAAGGTAGCTCTGATGCAGCATTAGAGTCATAATAAGTACACATTTATGCATAAAATACACACACAAGCGCTCTCATGCGCGAGCACGCAATAATCTCACAAGATTGATCTTTAGATCATCAAAACAATTATCTCTTTACCCATAACTGCCCAAAAATTACATGAGAAATTTGTGTCAGGCTTTTACAGGTATTTTTTTCTTTGTTAATTTGCTGAATAAGTTTTTTTTTTTATTCTTATATATAACAGTACTCGATAGATTCAAGCTGTCCAAACTATCGACTGATGGAAGATTCGGAACTGTCTCTGTAAATAACTGATTCGTTTGCTTTGGTTTTGTTTTCCAATTTGTGAGTTTTCCCCATCGCTTCTTCAAAGCTTTGTTTTCGTTATCAATATTTAACTTATTCTTGCTATCGGTATTTAATTTTTTCATATCACTTGTTTCTAAGACACTTATGTTTTTATTAATATCAGGCACGTTGCTATGTTTTTCGGACATGACACTTCTTCCTACATCGTTTTTCTCCGTTATATTTTGCGACGTCGATGGTAGAGCACTAAAAAAAAAATAAATAATTCTTATTTAATCTGCATTGTCTAATTTACACATTACTGTACATGTAATTAAATTGATTACGCATTACTTCGTAGTAATGGAACTTGAAGCCTGTATAGAATCATGTAGTTTGCTCCAGAAGTCATATAGTCCTTGACGATTATAATCCAAGTTAAAAATATATTTTAATTGAATTGGTAATTCACATTTTTTATATATAATCGGTATAAGCTTTCTCTGCTGTTTTTCTTAAATTAAAGTAAACCGAAATATTTTAAAAATATATAGTTTTAATTGTACTACATGTAAAAGAAAAAAAGCTAATGAATGTGAATACTTACCTATACTTAAAGCTTGAGTATAATTTAAGAGAAATTTATTGACTGAGCTTCCTAAAAAGTTGGGTGACATTACAATGAGCAATCTGTTACATCGTTCAGATATTAGCTTCATCATTGCTTCATATTCAAATATGCCACCAATCAGATCTCGATCTTTCAAGAACAACTGAAAATAACATATAGTTCTACTTTGAGTCTTTCTAAGAAGAAATTATACACATCACGATGTGTGTACATGTATTGCATCAGTTATCTGTTACTACCTTCAAGTTTTGTTCTGTTTCAAGTTTTTGCACTATCTCATTTGCAAAATCCATGTCTTCATCCGCATAGAGAAGAAATGCATCATACAATTGTGTTTCCAAGCCCTGGTTTATTCTATGAACATCACCTAGAAGAAATAGTTTGTTTTATATAAGTGAAACAAATCTACAATCGCTACACTAATTTAAGAACATTAATTTCTTATATCAAACCTGATGTGAGTATTTCTTGTTCAATGTGCTCATTTATTGGATTTGCAGTCACTTGAGCTCTTTGCTGTTGTTCCAGATACTTTGCAGCATCTTTTTCTGTATTACAATGTTAATTGATAATTATATAAGTTTTATTGTCTCTTATATATTCTTCATTTTGACTATAATTGTAAACTTTCACATACATTCTTTGAAGTATTGCAAGAAATATATTTATTGATTTTAATAATACATACCAAATATTTCTTCGGTATCGTCAATAATATCCCATCTGTCCATTTGTTCCATCATTGTTTGAAAATCTTTCATAGTAATACTTTGTTTATTTTTCTCCAATATTGTGAAAATATGCATTGTTGGATCAGAATGTGACAAAAGTAATGACATAATTTCACCTTTCAGATCCAGTAAATGTGCAAAGCCTCTCCAGTCTCTAACATATGTATATGTATAAATAATTATAAGTTATATGCTATTCTCTCTTTTTCTCTCAATGCATATTCATTAAAATCATTGACTAATAAATACTTACCTTGGCAAGCCATTATCATTTGGTAAAACTTTCTTTGGATTTAGCATAGTTGTGACAACTTCTTTGTTTATAACAGAAAGTGCAACAAGTGGCACAGTTGATAAATCAATTGCCATTTTGACAAGGTTTTCTTCTGTTAGTTTAATTTCTTGAGGCTAGTGGATCTTCAGAATAATTTACCTATTTACTAGTCTTCTTGGTTTTATTTGATGAGTGGTCACCACTTGTCAGAAATGGAGTTAAGCAGAGTTAAGGTTAAGTAGTGACTAACTCTGTTCAGGTCTAGAGTAGAGGGGTTCGTAGGCTCTCGCAAAATAGATATAAAAGGACGGCGAAGCATATAAGAAGAGCTCATTCAAGTTTACTCAAGCGCCATATATGGCTCTATAACTTAAAAATATTGATTATCATTATATCTATAGCTATTTTATCAAATATTAATAATAAGTGTTTTTTTTAAATGGCGGCTTTAATAAAGAAACGAGTACTAGCTGAATTTACTCAAAGCCAGGTACAAAATTATAGTTTTTATCGTTTTTTTTCTATTAGTTTTAAGAGTGAAAACTCATTTTACAAGCTATAAATTTGTTGCATAGGTTATCAATGAACAACCGGCCAAACGACTAAAGACTCTCAGGTTACTGTCAACTGGTGTAAAAAGCGAAAGCAGTTCGGCATTAGTTTACGTAGAATGCCTTGAGAAATGTAAGAGTGGAAATGATGCATTACAGCTGCTTGTACGTATCTCAGATGCTATAGCATGCATAACACCAGAAGACGTTCCTATAGCCGTAAAGAAGCTAGCAGAAAGATTTTCTGTAGAAACTGAAGCCGCAGTTAGAACAAAAATTTTTTGGGTGTTTGCTGAGTTGGGAGAAGTTACCCCTGACACAGCAGAAAAAGCAAACATTGTAAATGAAACAGCTGAACTCTTGAAAAATGAAGAATCACATAGAGTAAAGAGTCAGGGATTGGCAACACTATTAAAGTTAGGAGAATATCAAAGGTATGTTACATATTTATTTAGTATAGTAAGTGAAATTTATTTAATACAGTTGTGTCTCATATATTTTTATCTAGCTTTAATACGAGAGAATTTACCTAAGCTAAATAATTGTGTAGATAATATTTACATACTTGTTTTAACTGTAAAACAAATAATACAATAATACTTGTTCTATATATAATTTAATAAATTAATAGGCCTAACTGTTTTTCTGTGCGTATATAGGACACTGGTATTGAAAATTGCCCAAGAACATCTGCCTGATACATGGCATGGTGTTCAAACACGGTGTCTTTCCATCATTGGGCGTTATCTAACAACAAATGTTGCTGACAATATCTTGACATTAATCAGCAATTATGCTCGCTCTCAAGATCCGAGAGTACGTGCTCAAGCTTTTGAAACTATGGCGGAATTGCACTCTCACAGAGGTTGCAGACTCCCTGCAAGTTTTTTCAAAGAAGCTTGTGCAGCTCTACGTGATGATTATGAGATTGTACGGCGAGCTGTTCTCAAACTTATTTGGCTCTTGGGTAGAGAGTATCCAGAAAAGTCAGTAAATGCAACATAGATATAAATGTATTTCGGCAATGAACTTTTTATTATAAATATTGCACATATATGTTTACAGTATCGTTGTTGGATCTGACGGAGAAGATATACGTATGGTAGATTGTGCTTTTTCACAAATTTGCAGTCTGATGGGTGATTTATCGCCTCGTGTGAGAGCCTCAGCAATGTCCCTTTTAGGAACAATGAAGAGTGTATCACATCGTTACATCGAACAAGCATTGGATAAGAAACAAAAAGTAGTTGAGGCGGATAGGCCTGAAGTTGAGGAACGAAGCGGTTCTTGCGGAGCATTTATTCACGGTTTAGAAGATGAATTTTTAGAGGTATATATCAAGCACACAAATGCAATGTGTAAAAGTAAAATTTATTAAATGTAATTCAATTTCGAAATGTGATAAATGTTCAATATTTCGAGAAAAGTGCATTTGATATATACGCATAATATTTAGAATGTTACTATAAATCATATGGAGTTTATTCTGTTATATTTCAGTAATTTACAAAAATTTACCGCAAATTGCATTTTACTCATTTTTTTGTCACAATCGATTGTTTTCGACTGCAAGTAAAATTTTTTTAGGTGAGAACAGCAGCAGTTGAAGCACTTTGCACACTCTCGTTAGAACAGCCGAGTATAGCTAGAATTTCGTTAGATTTCATGGTGGACATGTTCAACGATGAGATTCAGGACGTTAGATTAAGAGCTATCGAATCTTTAAGGACAATGTCGGCAAGCGTGACTCTCCGAGAGGATCAGTTAGAAACAATCTTGGGCGCGTTAGAGGATTTTTCAGGAGAAGTGAGAGAAGGATTGCATGCTATGTTGGCTGCTAGTCATCTTGCCACTACGAATTGTCTTTACATGTGTGTTAACCGCTTGTTGGATAATTTGTCTCGTTATCCTCAAGATAAGGAGAGCATCAGGAGCTGTTTAGCGGCATTAGGCGCATCTCATCCGTATTTAACGTTGCCTTTAGTGCCGGAACTTCTTGGCCGACATCCTTTCTTCGACACACCCGAGCCGGATGTAGACGAGCCGTCTTGTATCCTTTGTGACTCAATTTTCAAATATGAATTCTAAAGCTTCACATTTGACATCCTTAACTTTTTAATAATAGACGCAAGCGTCCTTGTTTTGATATTCAACGCCGCGTTACACTGTCCAAGTATGCACGCTCTTTTCACGGAACACGCTTCCAAGCACTATCATTATCTGCGTGATACCATGCCACAACTGGTTCCGCGATTGCGGCCAACACTCAGCAGTTTGAGCACTAAAATAGAAGATGTGGACAATGAAGAGGCCAGAAATCAACGTGGTCGAGAGTTCTTGGAAAAGATGGTGGCCGGTATCGAAAACACCAGACCAGGAAGCAGAGTTCACACGCAGCTCTTAGAAGCCGCTGCCACTGATCTCGATCGCTTGGCTGAGATGGATCATCATATGGAGGGTGCAGTGCGTTTTACCGCTCTGTATATTCGATGCCTATTGTTGTTGAAGTCCGTTCTCAAAGAATTTTCCATACTGTCGACAACGTCAGTCTCGGTCAGTCCGATACCGACTACCAGCAACAATGTCTCCGTTCTTCTTCAACATGCGCAAAAGTATGTATTCTTAAAGTTTCAGAGTAAATTAATACGCATTCAGAAATATGCTGAATATAAATAATCTAAAAATAGTCAAGTGCATAATGAGAAAAAAAAAAACGTTTATGCCATCAATCTTCTAGGTTGCAACGTTTATTCAGCGGATTAGGCGACAACGAAATTACACTCGCTAACGATATGTGGCTGAAAGCGCTGGCCATAGAATTGGTCAGAGTAACAAAGAGCGCTACCGGCAGCGCATTACCATTGGCTCGTCACTTTTTATCGGAAGCCGATGCTTTGCCCGAGGACACGTCGAGATTGCCACCGTTTTCAAGAGCCCTTGTTCTACAAATACCGAGCCTGGCGGACATAAAACCAGGTTCCTTGACGCGGCTTTTGATACCATTGCTCTTGACGCCGATCGCGCAAGGAGAAGAACGATTGCCAAGACCGTCGGTGACAACGCGTTTCTGTCGAGCACATATTGAAGAACCAAGAGGTGATGCCGACGCCGCGCTGAAATTCACGGGTGGCCTCTTGCTTGGAATTCCCTTGAATGCCAAAATATTAAATCTACGCGATCCCGCGACTCTGCGAATAAAACTGAGACATCCGGATCAACAAGTGCAATTACTTTTGCCGCGACAGTCGGACTTGCGCTTACAACATCCGAACAGTCAGGATTATCGGCTGAGGACGACGGTTCTTCTCTCACATCAAGTATGGATGGAGCCTTGTAACGTAGAGATTTCCTTAGCACTGCTAGTGCCTTCGTCCTCGATTTGCATACACTCACCTTTGGACGATCCTTGCGTGATTGATCTGTGTAAACCTACCAAGGTATCAATTGCGCCAAAAGCCATTAAAAGAGGCATATAAATTTATATCGTCGACTACCGGGATACCGCGTTCTTCGTAAACGTCATTTATTTTCTTAACCGGTAAGCGAATTTGTTTATTTTCTAGAAACTGTCTGCGTTTTAACTGGCAGTAAGTAAACAAATCCAACTTGATCGGTTAAAAAACAGTCGACAAGTATAAAACATATCCGAATAAACTGCAAATAAATCTTGCTTCTACAGTTGGAATAAATCTTGCGTCTACTTATATTTTATTATCATTTATTTTTTTTTATATTATTTGAGTGAAGTTATACGTATACATGATTTGAGAAATTAAAATGTTTTGTAAATGATTCAGCAATAAAATGAATTATATAATTACATTTTTATTATTTTACGTCCTCCAAAACTTGTTGGACATCTACTACATGAAATTATAAAAGAACGTTGTGTGTAATAATTATTTTATTAATCATCTTCTCTAATTGAGTAAAAATTTTTTTTATTACAAAGAGAATTTTGTTTTTATTTATTACAGCAGTATAAGAAATGTAATATATAAAGCCTATTCTTTTTTGTCATTACTTTTCATATAAAACAATGTACACACGATTGTATTTTTTTTTTCTTCTTCTTATTTGGCCGATATAAGAGAGATGACATGATAGTTTTACGAAGAAATCTATGGATGTGTGACCGTATTTTATTATCTCCAACTAGAGAACGAACTGCCGCTGAAATAAGAAGTATTTATTAGTTGCAAGTTGCTTCTCTTTTTTTTTTCGAATAGATTTTTATCTTCGATTCGAAAAGAAAACCTGTCGATAAAAATGAACTACGTACGTAGTGAATGTCGGTTTTTCTGACTCTGGACTCTTCTGGGCCAAGCTACCAAAACTGAGACCACCCGATTGATTAGCTAAAGATTCGAACGTGCTGCTACCAGCTACTTCTCCAAATACTTTCGGCACATTTTCCATCATTGAGCCTTGCATGATAGGTTGACTTCCAAATCCTGTTGACATTTGTTTGTTGACAGATAATTGTGTTGAGATATTGAAACAATTTTCAAAATAACACAAACTGCTACACTTACCTATACCAGGAGACTCGAACGTAGGAGGTGAACCAAAACCACTGCTTCCAAAGACAGATTTTGATCCTCCGAAAGGCCCCGATCCGAACACCGGGCTGGCGCCGAAAGCGGGAGCTTGTCCAAAAGCAGGTTGATTGCTAAGTATAGGTTGCTGTATCGGAGACGTGTTAGTCGCAGGAGATCCGAAAACATTCGCGCCACTAGCAGAACTACCGGCTGTCGTGTTATTCGACGTGCTGCCAAACGGAGAGGTGGACGCCGTGTTTGTCGTTTCACCGAACATAATACCGGACTTTTGAGCACTGGTGTCTCCAAATAGAGATCTTGAGGAAGCCATGCCGAATCCTGTCACACTACCAACGGTCGCGTTACCGCCGAAAATACTTCCGCTCGCAGAAGACAACGGAGTTGATCCGAAGATAGAGTTCGTATTGCTGCTCCCGGTGCCTCCAAATATAGAGGATGCACTCGGGGATGCAGCGGGCACATTGGAGAACACAGAGGACGAAGAATTGCCAAACGGTGTCGAAGCGGGGCTGATTATAGGTTTCTCGAAAACATTCGCCGTCGATGAAATTGTCTGCACGCTTGGGAATTGCGCGTTTGATGTCGGAGACGTTATTGGGCTTTTACCAAATGCCGGTGTGATCGAAGCTGTCGTCGATGACACCGCGGTCGTTGTTGTTGTTGTTGTTGTTGTTGTTGTTGTTGTTGTTATTGTTGTTGTCGTCGTCGTCGTCGTCGTCGTCGTCGTCGTCGTCGTCGTTGTCATTGCGGTCAAACCGAATGAGATTGTGCTCGCGGAAGTATTACTTGGGCTGATGCTAAAACTCGTGGCTGGCATACTAGAGGTGGTGGCAAGTTGACCGAACGGTTTGTTCAAGGAGTTCTGGAAAGAAGATACGGTGCTGCTTACAGGCGCAGCTAAAGAGCTGGCGCCGGTAGGCGCGTTCGCAAATCCGCTAAATACCGACGTGGTCGATGCCGAAGTTGACGTGCTGAAAGTGGGTGCGATCGATGGAAAAACAGCCGCGCCAAAGTTAATCGCAGTGGACGGTGTGATGGTTGTCACTTCTGAAACCGTAGGTGTGTTCTTCAGAATAGGTTGACCAAATATCTGTGTCGCAGGTAACGAAGTTGAGGCTACGTTAGCTGATGACGTGATTTCGAAACTAGGTGCTTTCATTTCAGGTGCAGGAAGTTTCTCGATGCTGATCGAATTGATAGACGGTATTGGTTCCGTCGATTTACGAGCAGCATTTGCATCTACGAGACTGATAGTAACCCCAGAGATAGTTGCAATGGTTGTAGCAACAGGAGTCATAGAGAGACTCTGCGTGGTAACGGATGCAGGTGTAGATATGGCAAAGTTCATGCCAGTAATCGCATTCACTTTTCCATTGTTGACGTTGCTCGAATGATTTGCTGATTGCAAAGTTAACGAGACGGGTGATCCCAAGGATAAAGCCGACAATTCTATCGGCGCTTGAGTCAACGTCGGAGCTGTCATTACAGGTGTTTCTATAACAGAAGACTGTTGCGATTTCGAATAAGCAAAAGACATCGAGTCAAGCGCGGCGCCGGAAGAACTTTTTGTCACAGTTGGGGGAATCGTAGGTACAGCAAAACTGAACGTAGCAGCTGCATCTGTTTTTACAGTTGACGCTGCGGAAAGCGACGGTAGATTATGAGCGACTTCCACACGAGCTGTGTCCGCACTTAGCGGATATTTCGTTGACAATGCTTCCTTCAACAAACCAGTTGAGAATAAAGCAGACTCCGGAGCTTTAGAAATGCTATCACTGGTCATTAATTCTTTGTTCCTCGCGCTTGCATCAATGAGAGGAGATTTCGGAAATAGTATCTCTTGAGACTTCGGTACTGACATTCCAAACGTGATAGACGATGGGAAGGCATTGAAATCTTGTTTCAGTTTTGGTTGAGACGCTTTGGTAGTTGCTAGTACAACAGACTTCTTTTCTGTTTGCTTGGTAGAAATTGCAACGGGAAAAGAAACGGTTGCGGGAATTGGCTTCTGCTGGGGTTTGTTCTGCACGATAGTGCCGCTCGTGTCGGACGAGCCGATTCTTGCAACGATACTGTTTAACGAAGCAAGGGGACTTAATGATTTAGCTGATTTTTCGAGTGTCTGCTTGACAGTGGTTTGCTTGCTAACAATCGGTGGTTCGGGTTTGGTTTTAGCCTCGGTAAGCGCGGGATTGACAGATGCCAAAGAAAAGAGCGTGGCCTCCAAACGATCCTGGATCGTTGATTGATTGACTAACTTAATGGTTTTCGGAGATGATTCAGTGAGTAACGCTTTCAACTTGATCTGTTTCTCGTGCGTGAAACTCAGAGTCTTCATGGCGATAGCTTTACAGCGAGCGTCTATGATATCGGTTTTTTCTCGTATGGCCGACACCGACGATTTCGGCGAACTTACGTGTAGACTCGCCATCGAACAGTTGAGACTGGATACGTCGGCAGGTCTGTATCCTAAGCGATTACGGGATTTCCACTGTCGTGAGATTTGCTCAATTTTTTCCTTCTCTTTTGTGAGAATCTTGTGATGTAACAGAAGATTCTGATACACGTACTCCAAGCTTGGGATCTTCATCTTCAACTTTTTCGACAGATCTTTATGCTCTAACCATTCCAGGTCCAGGACTTTGCCGATTTGGTTGAGCTGCGTCTGCGTGTAATAATACCATCGCCGTAGATCCGCTATTTTGGTGTTTTCACTGCAATTTCTGCTGATATCGGTGCTAGCTGCATTCTTCGATTTTGTTTCTTCCACCCAAGCGAATGATTGGAGCAACAGAGCTTTTAAGTACGCTATATCGCTGGACAAACTGTTCGTCGTGTCTTTCAAATCTCTCAGAAACTGTTCGATAACGACAGACGTTTCTTTCAGCCGTTTTTTCTCCTCATCCGACTCCCAGATATTGATTTCACAGACGTGAGATTCTAATCTATTCCGCAGTTCTTTTTCAAACAACTCTTGCTCCTGCAGATAAGCTCGCATTCGTATGCTATCATCTATGGAAGCTTTCTGTTCCGCTGCTTGTGGCGAGCTCACTTCCTTATCTGCCGCTAATCTAGTTTCCGTCTTCGGTGGCTCCAAAACCGGTGGTGTTTCTTTCAGCACAACCGGTGATTTTGTAACCACCAACGATGTTGGTTTTTCTTCTTGCAACTTTGGTTGTTCCACAGATTGCTGAAAGAATCCTGCTACTTTCAGAGAGTTACCGAATATGTTTGCCACCGGAGCGGGCGTTCGATCTGGCATAACCACGTCCGCTTGTTTCGGACGTGTCGGTGTACTAGTCGCCGCAGCGTTTATATTGAATGACATTTCTGTAGACGGAACAGCGGAGTGAGATGGATTTAAAGACGTAACCAAAGCTGGAACTGTAACAACTTCCGTTGGAGGAGAATTGACGGCCGGACAGTCTGGCGTCAAGTTGACCATGTGAAAACTGCACAATCTTCCGGATGTTGAAAGGATATGCAAGATAGGAACCGGATGTGGTAATGTCGAATCCGCACCCCACGGTAACACCTTAGTCGGAGATTTATCCACAGCCAGACCTATGGGATATATTTCTGTGGTTCTTATCAATGGTAACTGGGCCCTGCCGCTATCGACCAATTGCCATTGATTCCAATTCGTTCCACCGTCCGTTGTGCCCAACACAGCTATCTCACTGCTAATGCTGCTACCGGCTAAAATAAGACCCCATTCTGGCACGTGTTCGAAGTAATAACGAGGAACACTTCCTTCGCCTTCAGCGTCAGAAAATCCATATGTGATATCCTCGTAACATGTAAACGTGGCATTCGATTCTCCTTTTACCGCATCGATGACGAGAACATTGATGTGCCGATCACTGTTCACATACGCAGCACAGAATTGATAATTACTGATCCACAAGATGCTAATTACTTCTCCAATGAAAGGTGAAGGACCTGTGATGATTCTGGCAACTTTCAGAGTATCTGGCTTCAGTTGTACAATATCTCCATTCTTGCAACCGACTACCATTTGTTTGCCTTTGGGACTCCAAGTTGCACACAGTGCCTGCGGTTCATTCGATACTTTGGCAACTACGGATAATTTTGGAAACAAGGAATTTCCTTCCTCTGGTTTCAAATTGAAAGTGCCAATGGTATAATCACTGGTGACAGTGCAAAACATCGTGGCTATTGTAGGATTCCATCGTATGTCCGTCACATAACTGTCCGGTTTGTTGGACGATACTATTTCAAGTAACAGTAATAGATTCTGAAAATTTATTTGCGTTCACAATAATAACTCAATTTGTTCAAATTTATATCACACTATAGAAAATATACATAAAATGTTTTAAACAACTTTTGCAAAAATATACATACATTTTTAATTAGCGACTGAGCATCATATACCAGAATTGTAGGTTTTAGCGCCAGTGCTACAGCAACATAACTACAATCACAATTAATTGCAGTTTTTGATATAATTCCTGGCAATTGAAGATCCAGTTTCCATTCCGCGTTGTTTTCTTCCGCTGGTTTGAAAACAGTGAGTTTATCATCATGTCCTATGTAAAGCAAACCACGTTTTTTGTCCGCCACAAGAAGATTGCAAGCAGGAGGAATACATGTGGATGTTTTGATGTCAAATACTTGGCACGTACTCGACTCTTTAAATAAAAACGTCTAAAAAATAGAAGAATTTGAATCTATATGACCTTTTTGTATAAATATGTATTAAAATTTGTTACTTTTTACAACATATGTAGTGCATATTCACTGTGAATGTGAATTGTGATTTTAGTCACATAAAAAATGACGCGCAATACCTGTACGTATAATGGATCCGGTGCTGTCTTCATTCTCAGTTAGCCTTATGATATTTATAAATAATTAACAACAATGAAGAAGAGGCAGCTTTCAACATTTATTCAATATACTTTAACCAAACTGTCACGAACTACTGTACCCTGTACCACGATATATACAGCAGCGCAACCAGTTAATCGCACAATTATTAGGCTACTATTACAATGCTGCGTACAAGTTTTCAATTTCTCTATATAGAAAGTAGCAATTGGTTGCTACCGCGCATGCGACTGCTGGATTGCAACTTGTACGGCCAATCCACGATTTAAGACACCAATCGATTAAGTGTCGATCGTGATTGGTCAATTCCGCTAAACGACATAACGCGACTGGTCCATTCCAATAAAATGTTATTACTCGCAATTTTGCGAGTAAATATTTCGCGCATCAATAAATCGCACACATCTCAGTTTGCGCACGCATTTGTCCGATCTATTTTAAAGAGGAATCATTAAATAAAACAAACTTCTTCAATTATTTGTTGCATATTTGTTGAGTCGAAACATTGCAAATATTTTAGAAAATGATTAATCTAGCAAAATAAATTTTATTTCAGCATTTTCAGAAATATATGTAAATTATCTTCTTTTTAGTATTATTTATTATCTTACTTTAGCACAACTTTCAACGTAGCCACTTGAAAGAAAAAAAGAAGAAAATAAAAAATTCTTCGTTAATGATATGTAAGGTGAAAAATTGTTTATGTTTAAAAATGATTAATCCAACAAAAATAATTACTTGAAAACTAACAAGTATGTGTCACTTGTTATATTACTATTATTATTATTATTATTATTTTAGCGCAATCTGCAAAAACAGACAAAAAAACAATGGTATTATTGAAACAATTTATAATTCTCCAAAAGTAGATTAAAATAAGATTAAAATAAGAATTCTCATCAAAGAGAAATATACAAAGCAATACGAGGATTGCAACAAAACTTAAAGCATTGACATACTAATTAATCAACTAAATAGCTAAATTAAAAAAAGCTTTAAATATTTTAAAACAGGAATAAAAAGTAAACAAAAATAAAATAAACTAAAATATACTAAGTTAAAGCCAAGCTGTCTTGCTTAAATTGGTCATATGATACCCTTTTTAAATGCTTGCTCGTAAAAAAATTAAGTGATTTAATTTTTTTCAAATAAGCAGAAGGAACAAATTTTTCGAAATGTACATAAAACAGTATTAAAGATTTATTTCTCTCAGAACTAGATATCTCTATATCAAGTAACGCGTGATAAAATCGAGGAAGGCTGTAACTCTCGAATACACGCCTGGAAAACCTGGTTCAGCGCATCTAAAGCCATATGATACCACTCCAATAATATAAAATACATTTTGATCTTTAGGATTGGGTAACATCAATGGCCCGCCACTGTCGCCCTGAAAATCATTTTATATTACACGATACGTAATGAATATTATTATAAAATTGTTCGAAGATAAAATATGTTCTCTCACTTGACAAGCGTCTTTTCCGCCATCGGCATATCCGGCGCACAAAACACGCTGATCTATCACAGTTGTTTTGAAAGATTGGAAAGCGGTTTTGCATTCTTCCTCTGCGCGCACGGGAAGTTGCGTTTGCAAGAGTCGACTGCTTGTGGGTCCATCTGAAACATATAAATGTATAGCACATATCCCTGATATATATTACGTAGAAAAATAAATCATTTATGCAATTATCATTGTGTTATATTTTGTGTGTACACTTATTCCCAGGCAACCAGCTGACGTTGCAATGACGTTAAGTTAGGTTAATTGTGATATTGTATTTCCGTAATATTACGTGTTATGTGGAAAATTTTATATATAATACATAAATATATACTCAAAAACATACTTTTAACAACCGTGTTATTTAAATAACGTTATTATGACGTCTTACTCACTTATTTCAACCGACGTTGCTCCAAAGACCAATAGTTACATTATATATGACGTATACGTGTGACGTACATACTGACGTCATTGTTACGACGTTCAAAATAACGTCAGATTTAGAGATCATAATCACCAATTAGTGACAAAAANCACGTATATTTACGTCATTACAACGTCAGCTAGTTGCTTGGGTATATTTTGTACAGAAAGCTTACAATTTATCTGATGTTCTACTTACGAAAGTAAACAGATCCCCAACCAATGACGAAAGGATGTTTATTTTTCAAATTTGTATATCTTATGAAATCCTCCACGGGAAGACAAATAGGATGAAGCAATGCTGTAAGTTTACGAAGACATATCAGCATAAAGCGCATTAGTGACGAAAAAAGCTGAACAATTCCAATAAAATCCGTACTTATAATTTATAATTCAAGCCGAGAATTTGTGAGCTTAGAAATGATATTTTTCAGGTTGAATTCCGACTATAATATAAAAGCAATATTTCTATACATTTGTGAACAACTGAATCTATCGCGTATAATTAATATTCTAACAAAAAGTAAGTTCTCACATGTAAAAGGCACTTCATAGGTCGTTTTCAAGATTGCCACGTCATTTGTATAAGTTGCGGGATTGTAATCCGGATGCACTATTTTCCTTTCAATGAAGTCCTCAAACGGAGTCGCGCCGTCGTAATCATCGTTGAGATCCAAATCGCCAATACGCACTTTGTACAAATCATTTCTCCCGTGTACGCAATGCCCGGCGGTGAGCACATGTCGACTGGAAATCAAAGCCCCGCCGCAAAGCCATCTCGGAACATTTGGGTTTCTTGAGTTCGTGTATCCGAGAGCGGTGATCCAAGGCCAAGAACCTGCAATATCAATCGATCAGTAAGATGTTAGATAATATTTCACGAGAAGAGACACACCAGGAGAGCTAAGAAAAGAACGAATGCTCATCTCATTTCTAAAAACTACACTTCTCGCGTCAACTGACTTCCGGATCCGAACTCTCAACAGTCTCTCAGTCAAAATCACGACGCGTTAAAACCCGAAACATCTCAATTATCATCTTGGCAGTTACGTAAGACCATCCTGGTGTTCTCTCTCGAATAATAATAATAACAATAATAATAAAAACTCAATCACCTAACGAAGCTGGTTCGCCGCCGACGACTCTGTGGAACGTTACATTGCTGTATCCGCACTGAGGCGGATACAAAGGACCGTACCGAGTGTTCGTGATTTCTTTGCGATCTCGATCGCCATCCGCATTGCCGTTGTTATTTCCTGTATTGCTATCTATATTTTCGTCATTCCTCCCAGTTGGACAGCAAACCTTAGGATCCTTACCTTCGAAGCCGCAAAGAGAAGAACGGAGAAAATTTCTTACCGATGGATCTTGAGCATTTGATTTGAGAAGATTGAGCAATACCGGACATGTTTTGATATTGATACATGTACCAATTAGTCCTTCCGGATTTTCGCATTCTGTAATTAGTACAAATTAAATTTCTTAAAATAACGTTACATATAAACTTGTTTCGAATACCGCGCGCGTTCAACGTACAGCGAGAGTATCGAAGTTTGATTCGAAATGCTCGCAATTAATAATCTCGGTTAAAACAGAGAATTTCTGTAACAATCATCTTTGTATTAATTTTTCCACGTATTACAGCAGCAGTCTGTTTTTTTTGTAGTTATATAACTGTCATTAATGTGCGATGGGAATTTTTTGTTCGGAAAACTCGAGGATTTTTACAACACGCACACGTATAACGAACGAACGCGTCATATCGTACGTGTCATACTGATTTCGATGATCAAACGATAACGTACTTCCGATTTCTCTAACTTGCAACGACATTTATCTCTTCTCAGAAACACATTACAGATCGAAAAAAACATTCCTGAGAAGAAGATGCAGAATTACAACAAGCAAGTTAGCCTCCAAACGACCTTCACCGATGAGTGCGTACGAGACAGAAAACTCGCGGTTGAAAGGACTCGACCTTGACCGTCTTCGAACAGTTATAGTCAGGATGCTATAGTTAGGTATATATATATACATATATATAATTCTTATGTTAATTTAATTGACACGCATCGACCATGATCAACAAGCAGAGTGGAATATTAAAATATTTCTCATTAATATTTTTTTTTACGTACTACAGATCTAAGTTTTAAATTTCAGATTTTTACATATGTGCAGATCTACAAAAAACTTGATAATTTTCACTTTTATACAATAAAAAGAGTCATAACATTTTATAAAATAAAATGTTACGACATTCTTTCTACAACGATACTTTTTGTAAAGTGAGACAAGTGAATAAAAACTGACAAGTTACCGAAGCGATTATGATTATTTTCGAGTACAACTACGTAAAACGGTACGTATAATAATTACGTAAAACAGGACACGCATATATAACGGCAACAATAATATACGCACAAGTAATTACCGATTGATCAAGTATGTAAATTAATCTCACACTTTTTTACACGCCAAGTATACAAGAGAGACAAACAAATCATACTTATGACGGGACTGTAATGGAATTTACGGACACATATCGTCACTTCCTACGTATAATTACATAAGTGTGAAATACGGGATTTTCAGTTTATTCCACAGTGACACTAAGAAAGTCACGTTCTTTACGGTCACCAAATATTAAAAAAGAAATTATTCACAAGTAAGGTAAAAATTTAAAACCGAAAGATGCTCTAACTAGAGAAACTATACGAAGCTTTAAACATTTAAACCGCTCTCCTCTAAAATTTGCGTTTTGGAGTTACAGGATTATACGTAAAGAGTGACAATATAGATTATATTCACAATAGTAATATAAAAAACCTCTTACCTTGAGAGTGCGTAGACAGTATTAATGTAGACAACAAACCGACGACGACGGGAAATCTCATCTTTTAAAAATCAATGTAACAGACTACGTTTAAAAGGATACTGAAGTCAGTGACGAAATGAAAGATTTGACCGGCCAGCACCAAGAGCACCGAAGTGGCGGGGGCACGCACACAAGCGAGAACCGCCGTCCGTGCGCGCGACGTCACGCTCGGCACTCGAGCTCGCGGAAGAGCAGGCGCGTTTTTAAGACTGGTAAAACTTCGGTGCAAGGACAAAGATGAGAGGGCCTTTTAATTAATAATAATAATAATAATAATAATANTAATAATNATNATTATTATTATCATTATTATTATTATTGTTATTATTATTTATTAAAGGCAATTGGACAAAAGTTTTTAATGATTTTTTATTTGTATGCAAATTTAGAAACGAACACCTCTTCGAACTTTAACCGACATAAATTTGTTTGCAACATCTTCCAAATTTAAATTAATCAAAACATTTTTTTCAATTGATAATAAAGTTAGATCAGATGTTCTTTCCTGTGTCATGGTACTTCTTAAATAACTTTTAAGTCTCCTTAATACACTAAATGATCTTTCGGCACTCGCAAATCCGATAGGTAATGTTATGAATATGATAAATTTATAAATGTTTATCATGCACCGAGAACCCGCAGATCCCGGGGCCCGTCGGTGCATCGCACCGGTTGCACCGACGTTAAATACGCCTCTGCGGAAGAGTGCGGACATACTACGTTCCGTCTCTTTCGCACCAAGCCCGCTATAAGACAAGCGACGGAAACATGTTCACGCCACGCGCGCTTATTGCATACGACAACGTAAACCGCTTTTCCAAGATTTACAGTCTTGTAAAAAGTACATAACATTGATAATGATAGATTAAACATCTGAAGATGCATTTATTATTACATTTTTAGTGATTTTTAATACGAGTGATAATTTGAAAGTTTTGAGAATATTGGAAAATACATTTAATATATATAAATATATAATTTAAAAACATTTAATATATATGTAATATATACAAATATATTATAGTATTAATTGTAATATATTTATAATTTGTAAATTACAAAAAGAGAATCTTTATTATACATATGCGTAACCTAAAAGTATTGAATTTTCATTATACAGATGCGTAACCTAAAAGTATTGAATTTATTTAACATTATCTGAATATAATATATTAATGAATTCGTATAATATGATTTAAATATTTGATGATTATACATCTCTAAAACGTAGATTCTTTCTCTCTATCATAATTTACAAAACAAATATATAAAAATGAACACTAAACATTTTCTTTATATGTGATAAATGTTTTTTTTTCAATAATCTAAAACCTTATAAATTTTTGCAGTTTACTTGTATTTAATTATTATGATATCAATACAATGTTTTCGTCTATCGCCGTGAAATCTCACGTATTGTGCCGATAACTCGACAAAAAATAAACCACAAATGTTAAATAAACACTTAGCTACAGAAATCTGTCTTGTTATAGTATTAAACATTTCCAATATAATACAAGTTTAGTTTGTTGAAATAATAGATATTATTATTATTAAGAATAACGAAATGAATTAAATTCAAGTCGAATTGTTTGGCCGTTTTGCAAGATGTTATGCAGAAAATGTGCTTGAATATACATATATATATGTAGTAGTAACTGTCGACTAATTCACACACTACCAAAGGCAACCAAAAAAGTTAGTCCCAAAAATTTAAATGAGTTAGGCACTAGCGTAACCTAATCTGGTTAGGTCCTAACCAAGTATTAGTACCTAACCGATTAGTAAAGCTAGTCTAAGTTAGCCAAAATATTTTTTTTTAAATACTGGGCCTACACACACTACCAAAAACACCCGAAAAAGTTAGTCTCAAAAATTTAAATGAATTAGGCACTAACGTAAACTAAATCTGGTTAGGTCCTAACCAAGTATTAGTACCTAACCGATTAGTAGAGCTAGTCTAAGTTAGCCAAAATATTTTTTTTAAAAATAGTAAGTAAGTATAGTAATACTAATATCTAGATTAACGGGCTAGTCAAAAATTTTGTGAAAACTGGACAAGCCAAGTTTCAGAGGACGTTGAAACAAACAACTTTTAATGAGGAACATGGGTGCGCAAATGTACGTAGCGTAAGGGAAACGAGATAGAAAATTTGTGTTTTTTTTTGTTTTTTGCAATAAAAGTTGTATTTTTGATCGGAAAATTTAGAAACTTGGCACACTTGTTGTATTCAACGAACTGAACAAACGGGTACCCTAAGATTTGCTTACTTCCGCTTATTAGATATATTATACTTGAATACTTTTATATGTAAGATATATAATATTACAAACAGAAATATACCTTCGCGCCAGCATTCTATTGCCCGAACCGGCTCCTCCGGTACTGCAAATACCGCCATCAGAAACACCGCCATCAGGAACATCGCCATCAGCGTCACCAAAAGTCCAAAAGGAATATATATTGTCCAGATTGTATCTTCTTTAGCATTCGATCACTTTCCCACGCACACACACGCGCGATTAAGTGAATTTTCTTCATATTTTCTTTAAAAGTTTCGCTTTTGATAATATTAGACGTTAATTCACGATGAAAAATTTCACGTATATCAAACTATTGCCTCGCTGTTTTGAGATTTGTTTTTTTTTTGTAAAATAAAGTATCACAAATATTTAAAGCAATGTATTACAATTACACGCAACTCACATGTCTTTGTTATATGTATGTTAAAGATACGATATGTAGAAATGTACTTTTTATTTGAATTGTACAGAGAATTTTACAACAACCAGACTCTAAAATCGAGTCAACAAGCACTACGGAAAATA